AAGGGACAGCGACAGTCTCATTGCCCATACCGCAACAGTGAAGCGAGAGTGTCAAAATTCAGGCTGCAATCACTTACTTAAGATCAATTTGCATGTTTCATTTTGATGTGCAGCCTGCAATCTTCTAAGAATGCCGACAAACGGACAAGAATATTAGGGCTTCTGGAACGAGACCCGGACGTCACACTGCAGACTGTAATTGCAGAGGCCCTGAGAATCATTAATTTAAAACACGATACAGCTATGATCGAAGGCACAAAGACGCATTCCAATGAGTTTGCAGTCCACAAGATTTCCAGGAACAAATTTACAGCCACTGATCACAAGAAGCTTCCTCATGGTAAACCACCATCAGGCAACAGGAGACCTGGTCTTAGTGAAACTATATGTGACGAGAGTTGCCAACCAATCCACAGCTTGTCGAAACGTTTGGAGCGTTCAGCCGAACACTAAAAAGCAGTTTAATCAACCATAGTTGCCATCTTCCTTATCAACTACTAATCGCCATTCTCTCTGGACCGTGCCTATGCATCCACCCTCACGCACAGTAGTCGAGCGTGAGATCGGACTCGAAATTAACTAAGGCCACAGGGGCAGATAGACTTCCTCTAGCCTTGTTCAAAATCCGGAGATCAGCTTTTATCGGTTATTTGCATAACTTACTAGTGAACCTATGGGAGCAGGAGATTGCTCCAACAGACTGCTCCGCCATAGTCCCAATTTTCCAACAGAGGCTCCCGTTCGAAACGCGGCAGTAATAGGGGGATCAGACTGATTTCGATTGCCGCTAATTTACTTGCCTCTGTCATGCTTCACAAACTTGCTGCCACCCTTGAAAGCCAGATTAATGATGGACAAGTTGGGTTCCGTCGAAATCTGAACTGTGTCAATGACATCCTCACATTACGCCAGTTGTTGGAAGCCCGCTTTATGTATTGGCAGTTTATCGTTTCCGTCTACATTGACATCAAATATGCCATCGATTCGGTTTGGTTGATGTGCCTTTTGGGAAAGTGTGCCTACGAAATATGCAAACATAATCAGGGGCTTCATGCGTGTGGCACTTGCGCATGCTGTCTTCCTCTTCAATATCTCTAGCGGTGTGACAAAAGTCTGCGCGAGGTCAGTTTTTCTTTTTAACGTCGTCATCTTCGAAGTCATGGAAACTGCGTTCAGCGGACTCGATTTAGAAACTTTTAATTACTTCTTGCTGATCGACACCTTGTCTTTCATTTTACCGTTGCTATTGTCCCCATTTTTGACAGCTCACAGATGTGCCACATAGCAGTTGACAGATTTGTGCAGGCTTCAAATAGTTTCGGGTGATGCTTTGCACCGTCGAAATGCAAAGTCCTCCAACATCTACAACGATTCACCGTTGCACTAACCTTTAGTAGTAACCAGCTAAACATGGTCATGAACTGCAAGTACCTCTGTCGCTATATTAGCGTCTGCGGAATAGAAAATGAGACCACAAACCGTATAGCCACAACTCGATGTGCTTTTGCTGATCCGCCTCCCATTGCGTCGGCGCGATATCACTCTCGCTCAGATGGGAAAAGTTTATTAGTTTGTATATAGAGAAGGCTAAAGCTGAGTACCAGCAATACGCCGGTATACAGTGCCAACGCTTCGCTGCTGCACAACCACCACCTATCGCGCGTGGGCTACGGATACTGCTAGGGTCGCCCGGTCCCTAGGTAGACAAGAACCCGCGCCCTCGGATTACAGGGCAAGCTTGTGATCCTTAACGCTAAGTGCCGGATTATATATATATATATATATATATATATATATATATATATATATATATATATATAGTCATTTTAAGCTGGATAAATTTCATTCCACTTTATTTGGTTTGTTCTGCCTACCTAAATAATGTTCTATTAACTGGCCACGTTGCTTACGCTAATTGCGCTTATCTTCGGTAATTTTGTTGCGTTTGTAGCATTTTTAAGTAGCTTGTGTACATTTCTTACTTATTGCGGATTTGTTGTTAATCAACTTACTTCATATGGTAATTTAGGGAAGAGTTATGCCACCGTATCTGTATGCTTGTCGTTTAAAGTGAATGGCTGTTGCTTGATATCCCCGGTGTGGCTGCGCTTGATGTGCATGTTGACAAGGTGCCTACCTGTCTATTACCCACTACCTCGTTCATACTGGCTCCAGGAGACAGTTGGTCGTTGCTGGAGGGGACGGGGTGCACGGTCCTTGTGGCCGTGCTAGGCTCGAAGAGCGGTTCCATGCACTCAGTGTGAAGCGGACTACGATCCAGCCACCGCCTTGTGTGCGGTTGATTCCCCAAATACAGCGTGCTTGTGTTTGCCTATGAAGGAGTGTGGGCCGGCTCCGTTGATGAAACGTGGCTCCCATCCACATGCCTCCCGGTCTTATTCCTTCGGGTTTACACTGGATGTGGGGTGTGTGGTTGGAGCTGTGGGTGGTGCAGCGCAAGCCATCCATGGTCCCTCTGTAGACGCAGGCGTCCTGTGGCTGGCCACAGTGACAGGCAAATCCGAAACCGGATGCCGCCAACCATATATATATCCTACATACCTTCACTGAAGGTGCAATCTGCAATGTTGCCGCAAATCCGCATTGAGGATGACGTATTGGAAACCACCTCTCGCTGCCAACGAGGCCGTAAGTGGCGAATATGTGGTATTGCTACCTGTCAATGCTTAAGATTGCGCAAAAATCGTACCTCGGGCAGTAGATGATCGGACTTCTCGGCGAGACTGAAGTGAACACCCCATCGCATTCGCCCGCTGTGAGATCTCCCCATCAGCTACACAAACCAGACTGTGCATATAGGAGACAACACTTAAGTACACACTATTTTGCTGTGCCACATGTTTATCATTCTACCTCGTAACCGTACTGATGGGAGTTGCGTCACTATTTTTATATCGATTACGTTCACCTATTGATGCCCAAGATTTAGGGCTGGTATTTATGTTCACGTCTAAATGTTAATGAAAACACCAACAGTTCGTATTAGATACTTATTCTCACGCGTGCAAAATGGCTGTTAGTCTGACCTCCAAACAAGACCCGTGCACGTTTGTAGTACTATTGTCCTTGAGGTTTAATATGTCTATCCAGTTTGTGGCAGTTCATACTTAAGCTTGGAATAACGCATGTGCATATATTATATTCGAGCTGCCATTGGACGCGGATCAAGCCGACCCCTTTATATATGTATACCAAATGAATTCGACGAGGATAATCAATCCGCTTTTGTACGGCCAACTTAGTGCAGGAAAGTTGCACTCTGGCAAACCGAAATTACCTTATTAGGACATGAACAAGCTGAACTTATGACGAAGTAATGTTGATTTCAGGTGTTGCGAATCAAATTCAAAGCTGATCAGTGCGAATTCCGTGACCTGCTCAAGAGGGTGGTTGTCCAGGTGCTAGAGAGGACACTATTACACGCTTAAGAGAAGCACACTACGTACGGTGCCAATCGATTTACTAATCCAGACCAATAAGGCGTCGTATGTGGTACATTTGCCTGCCTGATAAGTATTGTTACATTTCAGAAGTTAGATGTTGATTGAGCTCCCTGCTGTGGCTGCGCTTGATGTGAATGTTGACAAGGTGCCTACCTTTCTGAATCCCTCCACCTCGATTGCTGACACCAAGAGACAGTTGGTCGTTGCTGAAGGGGAGGGGGTGCACCATCCTCGTGACAGTACTAGGCTCAAAATATGGTTCCATGCATCCTGTGTGGAACGGGCTACGGCCCAGCCACCGCCTTGTGTACGTCTGGTGTGCATGCTTTCCCAATTAGTTCGGAATGCTTCTGTTCTGCTTGTTGAATGAGTGTTGGCTGGGTCCTTTAAGGAAACGTGACTTCCATCCACATGCCTCCCGGTCTTATTCCCTCCGGTTTTCGCCGGACATGGGGGTGTCTGGGTGTAACTGTGGATGGTGCAGCGCAAGCTACCCATAGTCCCTCTGTTGTGGCAGGTGTCCTGTGGCTGTCCCCATGGAGACCACAGTGACAGGCAAATCCAGATACGGATGCCGCCACCCATATATATATATATATATATATATATATATATATATATCTTCGACCGAGTAGTAAATCGTTGATGTGGCCTCTCAATGTTGTCTTAGTGAAGACCATTTAAAATGAAATATTCTTTTCTGTGGTTTCATCTTCCTATTTGGGTTTCTCTCGACCAGACACATTTATGTTTGCTTGCTCCATGAAATATGGAACGATCACGAAGTCGGCGTCGTTGTCGCATTCCTTTTCGGAATTTGAACGTTTCACCAATACAACTTGAATTTTTTGGCTTTTGTCTTTTCCGTCTTACTCATTATTTACTGTCATCAGAACTTAGATGATGTTTAAGGCACGTAGATCCGCAGATCCTTAGTGTACGGTTCGAATAATTATTTTCGGGAGACGGGTTGTGTTATTTGTAGTTCATTTAATGAATACCATCATTCTCTTAATATGAATTTTTTCCTACTCCCTTTTTCCCTTTCTTAGTGCATCTTATTCGTACCAGAAAACTTTACCAGCTTTGCCCATTGTTTGAGTACTGGGCTTCTTATATCACTATCCAAATCCACTCAGTTCACTTTTCTCTACACCGATAGTTACGCAGTTCAAGTTATGACACCATCCAACTATGTTGACTCAACAAGATTAGTCATGTCTCCTACTACCGACTTTCTCCTCTGCACATTGAATACATCCATGACAGTATGGGATGTGTCGCGCTACAGCTAGCTACTTGGTTTCGATGGTCCTACTGACCAAGAGATCTAAAGCACGGAATCCTATATGTTGGGTCCTGTGTTCTAGTCCAAGTAGTGACAGATATAGTAGGCACTGCTACGGATTCCTGTAGAATGAAATGGCTCCCTGTGCTTTTACGATTGTTCCATGTCTGTCTGACTAAATCTAGCTATCTCCTTCGAAACCTCCCTTTTCACTAATCTAAACATCCAATGTATGTTCACTATTTTAGTGCGAAGTCTGTCTTTGGAATCTGGAAAATCTGGAGAAACCTGTGAGCATGCCCCCTGTTTGTGTTCTTTCGATTTTACTGATATCCTCACTGTTTTCTCTAGACGTTCACTTTTCGTTCATTTATTGTTATCCGCGTAGCACAGGTTAACATGTCCATTTTGGTAGCATCTTTACTGAGTACCAACTCCTCCCTGCCTCTCCTCTATCCATCTTAACTAGCGTGAAATGACAGCGTCGCCTGACCTGTCTTTCTGAGGTTTGGTTTTCTTTTTTTCATTTGATTCTATCCTTATTGTGCCAAGCGCAGGTCTTCCTGCATTACATTTGCTCCTTTCTTTGCTTTTAACCTGTTCACGTGCTGCACCTGTGATTTTCTTATGTTTCCCTATGCCCTATTATTTCGCTGCATTTCTGTTTTGTTTTATATCAGAACTATGTGTGTGAGGACTCGGGTATGTAAGCCAGTGTGTTCGAAAGCATTCACTCTTAAACGTGATTACTCAACAATGCGTAATTTTACCGACTTCCGAAGTTCGACTATCTATCGACTTTAAAGCACACTAATGTGCCTTTATCGGTTTTACACTTTCTGCCAATCATCTCTACGTCAAATTTGATGTTATTAGATTTAAGGTTACGTTTTGCAAGGGAGTGACACCTAAAATATTGAACTTTCTCCTATTGCACTTTTTCTGGGATACGGTTATTCTCTAAGCTTCCCGAAGCCTTGTGGTCAGTCTTTGTCGGTTCCACCACATATTCCCTTCTTTTACGTAAATTATCTTACCTCGCATGGTCTGTTTTTGCGACTGTGACCTTACCTCAGCTGTCTCTTCCTCTGGTCGCTTTTACCAACTCCCGAACTTCTCATTTCAGCAAACCTACTTCTAATTTTTTCTATTTCTTGAATCATTTTCACATCTGGAGATGCATTCGGTGGTCACGGAAATGCATTCGTTTGGTAGCGGTGTAGTCCTTTCGTCAACAACTTTTTCTACGTTACCGTCTGTGAGGCTTCGTTTCTTGCCCCGGTCGACTCCCATAACCCTTTTGTTTTATCAACCACTCACCTTACCGTTGGATGGGCTCACGTCCATTTGCCTATTTACTTTAAATTCCAAACTTTAATGGTCTGTTATTTACGCAGCCGAATCTTGTAGTGCTAGTGCTTTATTTAAAATAATAGGTACTTACCACAGTAAGAACTTTCTTCCCTAGTGTTCCCATGTATCGCTGGTGGAAGTGAAAGTACCAAACAACATGACAAATTCTATTTGACTCTGCCTGTTGTAAGATCATTCCACTCGTAAGGTGGATTGCAGCGCTGACGCAAAAATGCGATAAACTGACAACGGCTATTGAGCTAGTGATGGCTAGTGGACTAGTCCCATCTCAATTAACTACTACAGAACTCGGGTCGTCATGCTTAAGCTCATGCTTTGAACCAAGTAGCCAGGGCAAGTGCAAAATCCTTAGCACACGCCATCGAAGCACTTATGACTAATGGTTGCGGTCATAGATTTTACAGCGCGCTTCTCATGAAAGCGATCTCGGCGTGCTCGCGCTTGGATCTTTCAGACAGACCGAAAGAGCATCAACACTTTGTTCTGCGTGGGGCTCTCAGAAAGTTCAACACCTCAGTCTTTCCGTAAATGCTTGGCGCGTACTTGAAGTTTCACATGGAATACGATACACAACCCTAACAAACTTATCAGTAACACTTCCTCTCTGTACTCAAAAGTGTACAACACGACTAAAAATAATATAGCTTTGGTCCACTTCTCCTATTAGCAGGCTGAGAACTCCTCGATAGTACAGCGGACTTTATGGGCTTCTGCGGGGAGGTCTCCTAATGTTTTAATACTTACTTTCTTTACTGCGGCTAGCTCCTGCAGCAGGATGAGCCGGCTTCATAAATGTCGCGGATTGCAGCTGCCCAGGCGCGGCGTTCGGCGACAAGCTGCACGCAGATACTGAACCAATTATGTTTCCACTGACGAGCACCATGCACAACATGGAGTCTCGGAAGATCGACATCCGATTTCTGTGCAGCAAGCTACGTTTTCACATGTCCACCACGGCGACGACACTAATCCTGGCAAGGCGAGGACGCAATCACAGCCCTAGTGAAGTCAATGTCCGGTCTGGGGAGCACGTGGCCGAAACACCGAAGTCTGCGGCGTTGAATGTGAGTGCTGAGAGCTTCGGAAGATGATAAGAACGCTTATGAATTTCGCCATTGTTGCTACGCTCATGCCACTGCGTTTACAAATTAGCCTTAGACACCAATTTTCGAAGAATTCCAGCTTCTGGGTGTATTTGGATTGCAGCGCCCATGTTACGCAACCATAGAGTAAAATAGTACGAATGATTGTTGAGAATACTCGGATTTTCTTACTCAGACTTCTTTCCCTCTTTCGCAACAACGTATTTAATAGATCTTGAGAAACTACAACCACCCTTGCTACTATCCTTGAAACAGCTAAAACACTTCTTTGAGCAAACATCAGTCCAAGCTGGCCGCGTAATACGGCTGGCTGTGATGTCGACGAAATATTTTCTCCGTTCGAGTATCACCACTCTGGAACTCCATCCCAGTGCATGTATTTTTTGCCCCCATCGCAACGCAATTCGAAGGCGGATTTGATGACACACTGGCATATTTACAAGCTGATATTGTCTTCGCCCATAGAAGGATAACATTGGCGTTGAACGAACTCTGAACCGTATTAGACTCCCCTTCCAATCCGAACTGGATTACATACATTTGTGCTACTGCAAACCTCTTGATGAGTTCCGCTTCATGCGCCCTGTTTTGTCGATAATTAGTTTTCTTCTCCTAATTTCACGCTAACCATCCTGCGGGACCTGTCGAGCACTTGTTTCTTTTTTCGGTAAGCACTATTGCTCAGTTGCTCCATCTTGACCATCTTCTACCAACGCATCACTAACACTGCCACCATGATTCTTTTTTGACGACCACTTGAACCTACTGCAAAACGACTTCAAGCATACACCAATTCCTGTTGTAAAATACACTTTTTAGACTACAGTTTCATTTTGTTTTGGCGTTGAAGCATAACCCTACTTAAGTTTACAGTTACGGATGGATCATTGAAACGGGGTACAAGATTTACTCCGTCACTTGAGCTAGTCTCTGAAGCTAAGTTTTACATCATGTGATTGATGCGTTGTCATTTTCGCATTGGCTGTACACATTTACTGGGCTATGAGTTATCCGCTGGCTGACTTCGCACTTATGTTCGGTGCAGATTCCTCGATATAGTAACCGTGATATTTCGTTCGTCTCGAAAGATACACATTGTCCATGTTCTTCTTTTGTAGGTCTATACATTTACGGAAGGTTCGGACGTTTGTCAGATTAAATGGAGTCCATTAAGGTATGTGATCCTGTAGTAGCTAGGTTGGTAATGGATCCAGGAATTTGGCTTCGTCGTTATATGATTCTACGGAAAAGTAGAGTTCTGTATTACCATGGATATGTCTAAAGCTGTTATAAAATTGTTGAAAGGACGGAAAAGAAGTGCGCACGAAGCTTCCATAATACCATTATGTGTTGGCAACCAGCGTTGGTTCTTGTCTAGCTGGTTATGGCCATTTTACTCTCGATTGGAAATTTTTAATTTCGTCCTTCATCTGTTGATGCCTGCAAATTGCTTGAATTTTGCCTCAAACTTTGCACCGTGTTTGCTGTCCTTCAATTACTCTGCTTTCCTGAGTTAACCGATCAGATGGGACTTTGCGTCCCTTGTAAGTAGTTCTTATAGTAAAAATACGCTAGTTTGCCTGTTAACTGCAGCATGAGTCGCTCCGAGCATTACCCATGTTTGGCATTCCTACCCACGCAGTGGTGGCTATTTCTGCGTACCTGGTAATTCACATTTTACCAGTCGTTCACCAATTTATTCTTCTCTTTCACGATCGATTTCGATTTTTCAGTGTAGTGCTTTGTGCACTTTGACGCTCATACGCCCTCTGTCTGCATACATCATGACGGCTCGTTTGCCTGCAACACTTGAGCATACTTTTAACCTGATGACTCGCGATTCGAATGTTGCGCAACGCCATTGGAGTTCCGTAGGTTCACCAAGGTAGCTCACCACTCTGACCAGTCGTACCAACTCTGTGCACACTTCTAGAACTTAGCGGGGATGATAAAAATTATTTAATGCATCTAACCGGAGTGCTACCATCCTTCATAAGCAATACTTGCAATGTCTATAGACTCCAGAGTAGCCTGCGGAGCATCTGTAATCTTCTTCGACGTAGCTTCTCTTTTTTCGCATATCGATCTGCAACTGACAGGCATCTCATCACAGCTCGCTTCAGTGATTACCAATGGTTGGCGACGAAAATGTGCATCGAGGCTTACTGGACTGCGTATTACAATCCTACCATTTTGCGCAACTACCACTAGTCGCTCTCCCTCTGGTAACACTGCCTGATCTCCCGCACCTACGCAGACTATAACCAGTACCCTTTGAATTAGAAAGCCCAATTCTTATGCCAAAGGGCAATCAGCTGACCAAACGACGAGTGCTTCATTGTAATCACTAGTGAGTGAGTAGCCATGCGACGAGCCATGCCGGCGATTCGGTGGTATGGGGGAAAGGACATCACTCGGCACTTCCCATTCTAGACCAGTCGAGTAAGACATAACTGGAATATTGTTCCGATGACTGAATTGAGCGAAGTTCTCTTCGTTGTTGCACCTCGGTTTACATTGAGATTGCGTGCCGCAATCCACTCACACAACTGGTGCCTCAGACAGAATCTACATGGACTCTTCTCGGTCAAATGTGACAATTATTTACTAATGCTCAATAAGAGCATGAGTTCCGTGTCTTGATTATAAATCTGTGCTGTTCAATCACGGTCATTTAGCGATCACATCTCAGTTGCTCAACAGTGTTGACGACATACAACCCACAACTAATTTTTTGACTGGAAAATCCTCTCCTTTTCCTGTACGTTTAAGTTACGAGGACGATGAGCGGCAACCACTGGTTTACGGCATCGGCTAACGCTCACGAAATAATTCTTCGGCAGTAGGTACCTACTTCGTCGTCGTGCAATGCGTTGCCAACAGAAGAGGAACACCCCTTCTAGTCGTTTTGCCGAGTCGGATATCTTTGCAGCGCTTAAACCACAAACCCTACGCTCGAAAACACTGCCAGCGCCCAAAGAACGAGCTGTTTTGTCTTGTGTACTTTGTATATCTGATACGGCAACTAAGCTACTCGAAAAACTCCAGAATGTTTCACCAGTCAGTTACCGCTTGCAGGAAGCTTTATACATATTTATCATTATACACGTTAACTAAAAGGTCGAAAGCAACTCAGCTATTGTGCTGTAATACATAAGAAAGGAAGAAAAAGGACATGCAACCGTGACACACCAACTGAGTTACCACCAACGAATGGGCATCGTTCTTGAAAGTTACCAGTCGGTAGTGTGGCGCAAAAAATATATTATGTGAAATTTATAATATGCTAAGAAACAAGATCGTTGTTATAGGGAGGCTAAGAGGGATGGGGTGGGACAACGGAACTCACAACACGAACGCCATTGTGGTCGGCTCCTAGCGATATCAGCAAGTGTATCCAGCCAACCATGTTCATCGTCTTTCGGACCCAAACCAGGACGCCGAGAGGCTCCAACCGAGGCCAACTTCGAACTAAGGGCCTACATTCCTCTTGACCAAGTCATTGCTTGACCACCTCTCCTCTTCACCAGATGCACTAACTGCAACGTCCTGAGGATGATAACCCCCAAACGGTGATGACGCTTTTGTAGCTAAATGATATAAAGTAAATAAATCGTCAGCTGTACGCCGTAACGGCGCTTTGCTGCCGTGCGATCACCATCAGTCGCACCTGGGCTGATTATACCGCGAGGACACCCGCTCCCACGCGGGTTCGGTAACCGGTCGAGCCAGTTGGAAACCAACCAAACACGCGAGGTATTAACACTGATCCACTGCCTATCTTAGCACGTTGCGGTGATGGCCGTGTTCCTCACCCGAACAACCCATTGTCAATTTTGCATTCGGTTACCGTTTAGGCTCTCTTTTCCCCCTCTGTTATCGTATACCTTATTGTTTTGGAACTTTTTTGTACCGATACTTGACCTATTACCTTCATAGGAATAGCGTTTCCCGGATTTTTTCTACGTTGTGGGAGCGGTTCTATGAAAATTTTGCGTTCTCAGATTTTGCAGACGTTTCTTTGTCATACTAGATTACATTGTCAGTGCGGCTTCAACTGCCCATTCCCCAGAGCATAGTAAGCGGATTAAGCCCTTGAAGCCATACTGATGATCTTGCCTAGTCTGGCAACAAAATGTACGCGAACTAATCGTTCAACTCGGAGAACAACGAACTTCGGATATTCTCAACAATTTATAACGTTGTCACTCACCTGCTACTCAACTACTTGTTCGCTCGGTCTCCAAAAATGTTTTTTTTGTGCCTTACGGTTGCAACTGCTACGTTAGTTTTCTTTCCAGACTTTTATCGCCATGCAGTGTCATTAACCCTCCTCAATCCACACAAAGTCGGAATCTTTTCCTCCCATAGGGAAGCCTGGCTTGGCGTTTTATCTGCTGACTGCAATTTCGTTAAGCTATACAGTACTTATCCTATGTTTCAACAATCCATGGAGGAATCCGAACAAGCTCCGTTGGAGCACGTTGTTTTCCGTGAGTGTTTGTTTCTGATCTCACTCATTCGACTAGCATATGGGTCTCACATTGTTCACACTTAGAGATAACTTACTTGTGCTTTTTTATGCCCATTTTGGCCAATGCTTCTCTCATTTCCGCTTTGTCGATGTGCTCTTACAAATGGCCACACTATTTCGTTTATCTTGTAGTCTTTACAGTTTTGCAGTTTGTTACCCCCTCCCTAGATGGCGCTTTCTATGTAACCAACATCTTTTTTTCGATCTGCACTGTAGCGCAATGATAACGTGGGTGTGTACGTGGCAATTGTTTTCCTCTTGACTGTTTCCAACGTCGTCAAACATTCCCCACGTTTATGTTAGAATTGATTTTATTTGCTTTCCTTACTCTTCTACTCTGCATGAGAATTCGGCTTTCTTAGTACTTCAGCTCTGACTATCCTAATCACTAAGTTCATTATTCTTTACCTCAAACTATTTGTTTCCATTCGCTGCGCAGCATGCGGCAATTCTCCCAGCCCGATCGTCTCCTTCGCTTGGCATCCCACGTTTGCAGGCTGTCTGCTGACCTTCGATAGAGACGGACGCCTTGACGTAGCACAGTTGGTCGACCGTTCAGCGCTTGTGAGTACTTTTACTTTCCCCTTGAAGTGAATAGTTGCGATCGACTCGTTACTCAGTCCGCAGGCGCATTGCGTCTGGCTAAACTCATCAGTGTTCGGCGCTGCTATAACAGTTGCTCTCCCACCCTCGTTTTTAGTTACCTAATTTAGTTGAAAGTAGGAAGACCATCTACTTTTATGTTTCCACCTGTAGTCTGGTTGAGTACTCTTATCTACCCGATTTTTTTTCTGAGTCTGAACACGCACTTTCGTACCTCTCAGTTTTACATTTGAACCGTCTGTTACGCATTCACCGGAACTAGGATGATACGTCAAATTTACTACTTTATATGCAAGTGCGTATTGTCTGCAACATTGTTGTATATTGCCTCAAAGCAAATGTAGTTTTAATTGTAGATGTTTGTGAGTAGGGTAAAGTTCGTAGAAAGTAGAAGTCACGATTAAAACTCACACACAATAATGTGCCTCGACGGGGAGTCGAACCCCGGCCCAACGAATTTCCGGTCCGCTGCTCTACCACTGAGCTACCGAGGGCTGACGATTAGGTGCGCAAGTTTTAATACATGACTTCTGCTTGGTGCGTGAGTAAGCCAATCTGCAACACCAGGACAGATACTGTGAGCTCATTGACAATACGTCGCGCACCAAGCAGAAGTCATGTATTAAAAGTTGCGCACCTAATTGTCAGCCCTCGGTAGCTCAGTGGTAGAGCAGCGGACCGAAAAATGTAGTTTTATATGAGCATCGGAATGCAGTGCGTTCAGGCTGACATCACAGCACACATTTTGCAGAAAGTGACTATTCGTAACAAATTTATGCCTATCCCCCACGGTCACCCCTGACTCAGTGACTGAAGCCACTGACTCTTTTGGTCAGCTCGTAGGTTCGGATCTAACTGGATCCGGTATAATCAGGCTGCCGATGTGTTTCAATGAGGCGAATTTGCCGCCCAGCACTTTTGCGGGCTACGCTAACCTCAACCATATTCATTTGAACATTTGCTCTCCACAACACTCTATTCTCTAACGTCGAATGCATTGGTCATTCCAGTTCTAGATTACCAGTCACATCGCCTATCCCGTTACGTACTCCGTTTTACCCGTCCACTTGATTATGCTCTATCTTTTACTATAATTCTACGAGGATGGCCAAAAGTTAGATGTGATTGTCAGATCTCGTTGTGCTTATCTGCAGTGTATGAATTCAACTCTTCTTTGCGAAACCTTCAGTTTAGTACAGTCTTTTTCTGCCTCTACAGTCTTGGTCACCACAGCATTCGTTGCTCTGGTCCTACCGTAACCATTGGTTCAGCAGAGATCGTTTGGGTTTAAAGTCTAGTCACACAAGCCGGGATGCTACTTACGCCCTCCATCTCGCCAACTCCAGTTTTTTGGACACCAGCGGCTGTGTGTGTTCAAACGAGCAAGCTCTAATCGCAGGCGATTTTCCTAAACAGCATGCCTCTCTAGATCCGTCTTCTGGGATTGGCTTTCACCTTGGTTGCGACATTGCCATCGTAATGCAACGCCGAGCTGAATCGGGTTACGGTATTATGGTAAGTTCTTATTTTCCTGCTCCTGTTGATTCAATATCCTTCTTTTAAGGTGTACTATTTTCGTGCCTAAGTATGTTAGCGAGCTTTCTTTAGACCTTCATTTTTTCTCCAATATGGTTAACGCTACGCTTCTTTATACCTCATCGGCGTTTTTTACGCGCAGTTACCACGTTTAATTTCTTCATTGCACACCAATCAAAATTTTGCGATAAATCTTATTTCAGTCACCCTTTGCATTGTTGCTTTTATAAAAGGCCACTGCTTACATATCATTTCGCCAGTAGAGTAGAATGCATTGGGGTAATGTATAGCTGTGCATATCCGGCTTAGGTGCTAATTAGTATTCCTCAGAAATATATTACTCAGTGGAATTGGTAAACGGCGCAACCATTTGCTACCGTTTTAGACACTTTGTTAGACATTGGAGTCACGTGTCCAGGTCAGCTTTCCCCAGAACCATTTTTCGCAGTTATCTGCTCGCTTCATAGTGTTGTTACTCATACGTTCCGACTAAGTGAATCACCACCATCAACAGCACTACATCAGCTGTCTAAACTGATGCCTCTCCACCGTATATCCATAAGTACCCACGGAACGATGAATAACAAAAGGATGGCCTAGCGTAAAACATTCATCAATGCGCCAATACCTTGTCAACAACATACCATCACATACAGCTGGCTATCGTGCAAAGACAAGGTGGGATCAACGAAACAGCTTCCTTGTGGATTTCACTGCCTCGCATCATAATTAGTCATTACTCCGCGGATAACTCAGCACCAAATCCACCTTGAACAAGCAACCCGACTACAACACAACAGCAGACGCGCCACTGGTGTCGGTTGCGAACCATGTCCTGTGACATCTCCAGCTTAGCACAAGGCGGGTCACGTGGACTCCAGCCTGAAAGGCGAGACGGATCAGCAGCACAAAGTTTGGTACTCAGTGACTCCATTTCACACTGCCAAGTCAAATTCTTTCCACCTCGAGTCTTGCGCCACCCTGCCTCTGGCAGACAGAACAAGGACCTCTTCGGTAAGCGGTGACTGAACATACGCAACTTATTCAGCGCTACCTGTTGTTCTAAGGAACTAGCTTGGGTATCATTTTCTATCACTCGCCTATGCACATCGTCGTTTCGGAACGCTGGTACCACCCGACCCCAGCAATGCTCCTGAGGTAGCAGTGCTCAATTACTTGAAGGCACCTCAGTTCCTCAGACCGAAGGGATGAAGTATCACTCCCACAGGCTAGAATGGCCCTCACTGTGGCCTCTTAAAAGCAGATTTCAAACCGAGGAAAACCGCTTTCTGGTGCTCCAAATTTCGTAGATTCAGGAAGGTAGTTCTGGCTTTTGAAATGCGTGAACTTACCTCAGTTGCTATACGCCCATCGTTTTTGGATCGACTGCCAGGGTAAGTGTATTGATCAATTACCTCGAGTCCCTCGCTATCCTGGGTCTAGGGTTCATCAAGTGGCTGGTGGTCCTGCAGTAACATTTAGCACTTTGAAGGTACGAAGACCATACCAAATAATGGGATCACCCTAGAGAGGCTATTCACAGTTGACTGGGCCTCCCCACGATCGTCAAAAAGCAAGACGATATCGTCCGCATAATCAAGATCAATTAGCTTTTCACTAGGCAGCAGCTCAACGCCTGCATCGTGAGATCCCGCAAGGGAGCACTCCTTGATGGAGTCCACAACGAAGTTTAACAAAAATAGAGAAATTGCGCCGTCCTGGCTAACGTTACTTGTTGTTGGGGAGCTCCCTGATAAATCACCGTAGACCCTGACGCTACCTGTCTAGTTCGAGTACAGGGAACCTGCTATGTTCACATATTTCATTGGGGCGCCCTTTCGCACGACCATCTCGAACAGAATGGATCGGTCGACCGAGTCTAACGTACTTTTGAAGTCCAGCAACATGGCTATTGTCGGCCTCCGGTACGTGTGATGCTACTCTAACACCTTTTGCGGAGTGAATATCTACACAGCTCCATCCTGGGTAAAAACATGCATGCTGTTCCCTGATCCGGAATTTTCGTTCCGCAGTGAGACGATGAATGGGAATTGAGACCAGCAATTTTTTCACTACTGGCGTTTGACTAATGACTCTGTGGTTGGCCCAGTCGGTGCGACTGTTCTTCTTGTATGTTAACACTATGATCCGTTCACCCCAGTTAGCTAGGATAGCCTCTTCCTACCATACCCATTCAAAACAGGTCCAGGGCTTTGCAGATGACCTAACCACCATCTTTAAATAGTGTAGGTGCGTTGGAATCCGGGCCAGCATTTCGAAAGCAATCAAGAGCTTTAATCGCATTTCGGACCCCAGGTAACCGAACTGATATTTTCACCAAAACACATTGAAGACAGATTGCCTTATGTCAAGTTTTTTTATTGTACTCACCGTTCTCATTATGGCACACAATAAAATTCTATGCATGCGAAAATTTGCACGCTAATCAAAGTGTCATAATCAAGATCAAAACAATCGAATTGATTACCACCAAACTCCATTGTAATTATCATAGTAATTATCCTAGCTGAAGATAAGAAACCCACCCCAGCCAACTGTGCGGCGATACAAAAGTTATGACATACTAGCTAACGTGATACTGAACATTACGAAGTACAAAACTACCAAACAAGTAATGTACTGCTAAGTGTAATGTTATCAACCTAGAGTAAGATCGTCGTTGTAGGAGTAAGCTTTGCGTTAAAGGGGGACAAAGATACTCACAATGCAAACGCTACTGACGACGATCTTCTCCATGTCAACTAGTGTATCCAACCTAACATGTTCATCGTCCTTGAAGACCTTGCTTTGCATTCGGGAGATGTCAAGCGACGCCTAGTTCGGAGTGAGGGACCTCATTTCGCTTGACCAAGTTATCGCTTGGTCTCCCTCCTCTTGTTCCATCCAGACCCCGGTAGCGCAAAAGCGCAAGTCGTGAAAGTCGGTGTACTGGCATGCGCAACACATGGTCCAGTCATCGGAGCCTAGTGCGTGAAATAACCATGCTGAGCGATTACCTCGCTTTTCCTTCACCATTTAATCGTTGCCGGACATGCTTATTTATCACGCAGTGTTCTAATCAGACATGAGCTAAACTGTTGGTAGAGCAATGATCGAATCTAACTAGCCTCTTTATGTCTGTCGATCTGATAAGCTAGGTTTCACAACTGTACAGGAGAGTCGAACATACGGCCGCATTCTAAACTCTACTCTTCAGGTCGAAAGTGATGTTGCGCCTACGCCACAGATGGCAGAGACTGACAAAAGCACCTCTGCCTTTTGCTGTACGGTTTGTGTTCTCATCTTCTATTCCACTGGCCCTAATATAGCTGCCAAGGTACTTGAATTTCTGGACGGCTTCTAACTGATCTCCACCAATGGTCAACGCAGGGTGTGTCCCTGCGAATATTGGATGAGCATATTGCATTTCGAGGGAGTAAAGCATATGCCGAAACATTTGACAACAAGTGCTACTCTGTCTAGGTGTCACAGATTAGGGCAATGCCGTCGGCATACTCCAACTCGAAAAGCCGCCCACCAGGAAGCAGCTCCACATCTTATAGGTCGTGTCCTGTGAATACCATTTTCATGAATTCGTCGATGGGAAGGTGATAGCGGGTAACCTTGTCTCACACCGCTGGGGATATGGAAGGGCGGCGATAGTTTGCCGTATGTCCTCACTTTGCCCGACCTATGTGCGTACAGCATCTTCATAAGATTCACGTATTTATCAGTCACACCTTTCCGCAGCAGATATTCTCAAAGAGCACATCGTTCAACCGAATCGAAGGCACCTTTCATGTCGAGGAAAACAACCATGTTTGGTCGCCTATACATGTGGTGGTGCTCCAAGAATTGGCGTAATGTGGAGATGTGGTCAATGCAGCCCCGACCTCGACGAAACCGGCTTGCTTCTCACAAATCTGATTTTCATGAGTGTCAGTTAGTCTCTGGAGCCAGACAGAGGCAAGCAATTGAGATCGGACTGATCACCCTGTGATTGTCGCACTCCGAAGGTAACCTCCCTTGAAGATTGGGACTATAACGGAGCGGCTCCAGTCTGTTGGGGGAGTCTTTTGCTCCCACAACGTCACCAGTAAGTTGTGCAGTTCACCTACAAGAGCAGGTCCCTGAAATTGGAGAGAGCTGCAAGAAGTCTCTCTTCTCCTGCGGTTTGGTCAGTTTCAACAATCTAATATCATGTTCGACTAACACGCGTGAGAGCGTATCCAGTAGGACGGCCCCAAGAGTAGGGCGATCAATGGTCAATCAAGGAGCTGGCAATTCTGCCTGATCAAACTATTCGACGCGACGCTCCAAAGTGTGGATTAGCTGTCCACTCTCGTCGCATATAGTTTCGCTAACACCAGGTTTTCTGTTTTACGTTTTGCGTATCAAACGGTTAACAAGGTCACCAAATGTCTCCATTTCTGATGCACCATCAAACCACCAGGCTTCGCGGCGTCTCTTCAAGTCAGCACGCAGTTTTACTCTGAGTTCTTCGCGAGCCTCGTTGCGTTTGCCTCTAGCCGGGATATGTAGGTGAGCGTTTAAAAATCCCAGAGATCGCGTAGAGACCCAGTGTCAATGTTGGCGGTTTGATTTGCCACATTAAACATCCCTGTTGCTAATAACGTCTTGTGCAAATGCGGCCAGTGATCTTCAACTCTGTTCAGAGAGCTTTTACTCAATCCGCAAGCCTCCGTACTTTGATACGCATATATGACATCTGGCTTCGCCAGTTGCTTAGTATTTATGCCCTCACAACGCCATAACATACTGACAGGCCGTCTCATACGCATGCGTCGTCTGAGTCTACACTCGTGCTCTCAATTCAACGGCAGTTTTGTCGCACTCTCTCCAACGGTATTTTATCTCGATGTGATCAATTTGCGTCCATGGCTAATCCGAGGCTGGCGGACCCCATGTCGCTCTTTTTCGAGTGCTCCCCTAGAAATGAACGTGCATCTTCACACAAGTGCATCAACCGCTCACTGTTATCATTACAGCAGCCGGTACCTTCTTGGCCGCTTAGATGCACCTCATCAATGGACAATTTTCCAACTTGGACATTCAGATCGTCAGCATGCACCACAGAATCCGTACTCTTCCCCAGATAAATGAACTCACTCAATTGTTCATAGAGTCCATCTTTCATCGAGTCAGTGTTACTGCTTGTGGGGTGTAGGCGTAATGACGAACGAGTACCGTTTGTCCCGCGCGACTTCGGAGCTTGGAACGGGCCAGCCAATCTGACGGCGCACATCCGGCTGTTGATTGGGATCCAATCGACCAGGGCAGCTTCAGCTTGGGGACTCAGAGCAATGCCCACACTGGCTTGACTAGCGTTTGAACCTTCGTCATCTCCATACAAGTGCAATGAAAAAGTGCCGTCAATGTCGCATGTGAGGACCGAATGGTAAACACGAGGCTAGAATTATGAGTGCGGGTTTCCGAGAAGCAGCTGATATCGATCGTTGGGGTCTCTACTGTTCTGGCATAGACTGTCTGTTGGTCAATCTATAATGAAGTGCGCACCCTGAGGTGTGTCATTCTAATGGAGGATCGAGGGCTCCAAAGAGAAGCGGATAGACTGACGTATTCCGCGTGGTTGAACATGGACTTGTCGACTGGACCAGAGCCAGGCCCTGCGATTGCGAGTTGAAACTGTAAGACAAAGACCTATTGTAGTAAGATAATGGAGGACTAAGAATTTGAGGATTGAAAACAGGGGGGATAAAAGTAAAGTCGGAGCAAAACGATATGGATGAAAAGGTGGGAACGCTTGAGCAGTAGCATCCAAACCCCTATCCCGCTTGCTGGGTGCGGCAGGTAAGGCACAGTGGATTCTTCTCTACGACGGTTAATACGTCAAGGTATTGTTTAAAGAGAAATTTTTTGTATTGCGTGTGCAAGGTGCCGTCGGTTGCCCAGGCCTAGACATGAGATCATTTATGGTTTTCAACTAGAGCCTTTGGTTCAAAAACCTGACTACATATTGGCGGGGTTTGGCACTGGGCTACAGAGAGTCCGTTTTACGGAGTAAAGTGGCATCCTCACTTCAACCTCCAACTTGGAGGACCGGGGGCTGAGTTTGTCTGGCCAATCTGGTATCAGTGGCTCTGAAGGTGCGGTGTAGCTCGCATGCAAACCTTCGCACCACATAAAGATCCTGTCTCGTCGTGACGGCCTAAAGACAATCGATAGGCTCAGCCCGCGGGCGCAATTTGACCACGTTAGTGATCTTCCGCCATGATCTATGGGGAGATGCGGGTTGGTTTAAGGCGAAATTGTTGTATACCTCCTACCGATTTCTGAATACGCCAATAAGCCAGAAATGTTGCCGGAAAACTGAACGCCTTGCAGGATCGTATTATTGAAATAAATGACGCGTTATCTACTTGAGCCCTATAAAGATTGGACTTTGCAAAAATGAACATTAAGTTTATTTTTGTGGATAAACGTGAGTGCCTGTCAGACACGACATCGGAGAATAACGTCTTGTTGGAGAATACGGTGGCAAGACAATTTCAAATCCTCTTATTACCTAGATACGTCACTGACTCGCAGTGCAGACAGCTGAATTCGTTTGGGACGCCGACACCGAGAATGATGGACGCCCCCAGGTTACACAAGCCAAGTAACCCACTGCGTCAGAGTATGTGCATGAATAAGTCGCTCTGTCGCAACGTTGCTCGCTGGCTCGGTAACTCCTAGGTCCTCTGCGTAAACTGACCACGCACTGCCTGAAAGGCTCCGTTGAACTAGCGGAGACACTGAAACAATACTCACTGGGTTCAGAGTTCCTGTGCTCTGTAGACGTTGACTCTTTTACAAACGTCCCCCTTCAGGAAACTATTGACGATTTGTTCTATTTCATCCTGCGCTAAAACATGGAATATTTGAAGTGGGTGATTCTACTTCGCATACGGCATGTGCTTTTTGAGTTTGAGAGGACGGCATACAAACAGATCGACGGAGTCGCCATGGAAAGATAACTTTCTCGGCTTGATCGGAAAACAAGTTGCTGCCAATAATGATGAAGCGAAATTGTACCAGCGGTATGCGCATGACATTCTTGTGTATTCTAGTAGCGAACATGTTACCTGGTTCTTTACCACTAAATTCAATGCACTCCAATTTATCGTTTTCCCATGAGATGCAACAACACGGCGGCCTGTCATTTTTGGATATCCTCGTTAAGAGACGGAACAAAGTAACGCTACAGCACACACCTTTTACCGCAAGGCGACCTGAAGTGGACACTACCTTCACTTTCCCAGTTTCTCCCCGGTTTCATCTAAACGCGGCCTAGTGAAAGCGCTCTTCTACAAGGTCAGACGGATTTGCAGCCGAGAAATGTTAAATGCTTGAGAAGAGTTTCTGCACTGGACCTTAGTGTCGATTGAATATCCCAAAAAGTTCATCCAAGCTCACATCATACTCCTATAGAAAAACCACTGGTGTTAACGGCAGAGAATAAAGTTGTTTCTTTGGTTCTGCCGTTCAAGGGCGACCATGTGACAAGTGTCGGGCACAAGCTCCGGTCCGCCCTAACGCGCACATACGCGACTGACCAGTTGCGCCGTATACACACTTCCCGAAAACGTGCTTTGCATAACCATCAGAGCAGCTCTTCGGCTAGTTCATCCTCATGGGATTTATTTGTTCACCTACATTTGAGGCACAACTGACTGTTGATCGGCTCAGAGACTGGCTGAACACTTACCAAAATGAACTGGAACCGATCATCATCTATTACCAAGCACCTGATGACAACCGGTCACCATGTGAACCCTGAGAGTGTGCGTCTAAGGTTATATTACTCAACTGGAACCCAATAATATTGGTAATCAGTAAAGCGTTACTGAGTATGGTCTATCAGCCCGTGTTATGTGCACAGAAACTCTAAGGGCAACCAGTTAGATTGCCTTTGTTTTGATCATAACATTTCTATTGATGTGCTGATTTTTCTATGTATATACTTGTGTATGTGTTCTATTTGTGTTGTTTTTGTAACTGAGGAGAACAGTCGAAGTTTCGGCATCTCGTAATCTTTTTTTCCGCTGTGATGTAGGGGCTGAATGGGGACCCAATATTTCACATACACTGATCTCAAAAGTGCTCCGCCCAACGAGTCATACGGCGCTCCTTATTATGAATTAGTGCACTTGCTCTTTCTCAAATTGTCTCACTGGGACCAGTGGTAAGGGTCAGTTGCAAGAGCTTACGATAATTGCTCACTGCTCCCAACTCCTCCATATCTTGAACCCTACTGGTTTACAAAGCCTTGTCAGCACGCAGACTCTGCTTTATTTCGCACCTAATCTTCTGTATGGTTGCACCGTGCTCAGAGCGCGCCGACAGCTTTTTTGAATTCAAACAGGTTCATCGACCTATCAGATATCTGGGGAGACTGGAGCCGTGATTATATTAATATTATATAATAATATTACCTCAACTAGAGGATCTAGCGCGGTGCATGGTATAATTACAGATCATAAAACTGTTTGAGGGCCTGTGCCTCGGGCTCTCGCTTTGTTCTTGTCACTCGCTTTTACCTAATATTTTTTCTATGGGGCGGTTCACGGTCTTCTGTGCCTTGCAACTCCTTCGTCCATTGCTTATTTTTACCGCAATATCGGAACTAGTTTCCGCTTGCTGAATTTAAAATTCCGCGGCTTTTCCCTAGTTTCATAGTATTCCTAGTTCACTTAAAAGCTGCATTCGCGCGACATCCTGAGTTACTAGCTAATTACGGTTACCGAGATGTCTCCATGTTACAATTTTTGGTGAGTTCTTTACCTATTTTTCTTCCCAGCCCGATCTAGGCGCCTACGTTGCTATGTTCCACGATGATGCCGAACTTCGTTCTATGTGGTGCTGGATCAAATGTATCCTTTGTGATACCCATGTGTGTCAATTTCAGTGCTAAAATCGATTTTACTCTCTTCCTACACTCTTCCCTAGTTCTCGTCTCTTGTGTTTTCTTTAATTCATACATTCATAGATTTGCGCGATCACTCAAAGGATTTCGAGGTCCGTGGACGAGGTATTTCCGTTTGTCTGTATCCTGTTCACAGTTGACCGACGTTTTCTGTTTCTTTCAAAAAGCTTTTAGCAGATTTAAATTGAACTTCATCCCGATCTATTCTCCATCCCTATCTTATATCTTAGTCGGCGATCTCGATTGCCTCAAAATCGGCCGTTTAACAGAACACAATGAACCAGTCTCGCCTTCTCGATACTTAGGAGCTTTGGCGATTTTGTCTGGTCATGCTAGCTCTGGCGGGGTATGCAGCCCAAGCGATGTGATAGAAAACGCAGAGTGGCGTGGCCTAGATATTCGACTACCGTTTCCACGATATTGCAGCCCTGAAAGGTTGGTGATTTCGCTCTTCAGTTTTCCTTATTCTCGTTTATTTGGTACTATCCACGAAACTGTGCTCTTATTTCTTGAAGCCTACCATGTTTACTTATATTTTGTATATTAATTGTCTTCTGTCAACCATGTTTTAGTTAACAGTTCATTTTTGACCGGGTGCTTGCCTTTGCCTTCATAAACAACCCATCATCATCATCATCATACACCTTAGCTAGAGGTGGGAAACACCTCAGCTACTGTGCCGCAATACAAAGAAAAAGGAGAGAAAAAACAACTGGTGAAAGCTGGCTGAGCTACCGGTAACGGATGGGCATCGTTCCGGTTAGCTACCAGCCGGCTGCTGTGCACCCAAAAAAATTATTATGCAAAATTATATAAGGCTAAGTAATGAGATCGTGGTTGGAGGGGGAGGCTAAGAGGGATGGGGTGGGACAAAGAAACTCACAGCACGAACGCCACTGAGGTCGGCTCCTAGCCATATCAGCAAGTGTGTCCAACCAAACGTGTTCATCGTCTTTCGGACCCCAACCAGGGAGCCGAGACGCTCCAACCGAGGCCAGCTCAGAAGTGAGGGTCTTCATTCCTCTGGACCAAGTCATCGCTTGGCCACCCCTCCTCTTCTTCCATCCACACCCCCGGCGCGCAAACAACACACGTCGCGGAAGTCGGTGGGCTGGAATGCGTAGCACGTGGCCGAGCCATCGGAGCCTGGTGCGTGAAATAACGGTGCTGAGCGGTTCATTTCCTTTTCCTGTGCCGTAAACAAGGCGTCGAACACGCTCGTTACTCACGCGGTGTTCCCACCAAATGTGAGCTAAATTACGAAGGCACCGGTGGTCGAACGTAACTAGCCTCTTCAGGTCCGCTGCTTTAAGCGGCCAGGTTTCACAACCGTACAATAGGGTCGAACGTACTGTTGCATTGTACACTCTACCCTTCAGGGCGAGAGTGGTGTCGCGCCGGCGCCATAAGTGGCGAAGCTTAGCAAAAGCGCGTCGAGCTTTTGCTATACGATTCGTGATTTCATCTTCAATCCCACGGGCGCTGATACAACTTCCCAGGTAGTTGAATTTTTGAACGACTTCTAGCTGATCCCCACCAAGGGTCAGCGTAGGAGGCGGTCCAGGCCAATATTGGAGGAACGCTTTGCGCTTCGAGGGTGCGAAGCAAAGCCCGAAGTGACGGACAGCTAGTGCTAATCTGTCCAGTGCCGCTTGGCACGTTTGTGAGCTGTCACAGATCAGGGAAATATCATCAGCATACTCTAAATCAAGAAGTCGTTCTCCTGGGAGTAGCTCCACACCTTCTAAGTCGTGTCCTGTGAACGCGATTTCCATGACTTCGTCAACAGCGAAGTTGAAAAGGTAAGGTGACAGCGGGCATCCTTGTCTCACGCCGCTGGAGATATTAAAGGGCGACGACAACTTGCCGTAAGCCCTCACTCTGCCCGAGCTACGAGCATATAATGCTCGGATAATATTCCCATATTTCTCAGGTACACCTTTCCTGAGTAGACAGTCCCAAAGTGCATGTCTATCCACCGAATCGAATGCACCTTTGATATCGAGGAACACGACAACGGTGGGCCGCCAATATATGTGACGGTGCTCCAACAACTGACGCAAGGTGAAGATGTGGTGTCAATGCAGCTACGACCTCGACGAAATCCAGCTTGCTCTTCACGAATCTGGCTTTTACGAGTGCCAGTCAGTCTGTGAAGGATGACAGAGGCAAGCAATTTGGAGGCGATGGAGATCAGACTGATTCCTCTATGGCTGCCGCATTCCGATCGTGAGCCTCCTTTGAAAATTGGGACTATGATGGAGCGGCTCCAATCGGTTGGGACAGTTTCCTGCTCCCACAGTCTCACTAGTAACTCGTGTAAATCATCCACAAGAGCAGGTCCCCCGAATTTGAAGAGGGCTGGTGGAAGGTCATCAAGTCCCGCGGCTTTATTTAACTTCAACAGTTTGATCTCATGTTCGACTTCTGAGCGAGAGGGTGGATCCAAAGGAACAGCCCACGGAGCAGGGCGATCACTGGTCGGCGAGAAATCTAACAATTCCGACCGATTAAATTGCCTTTCAAAGTGCTCAACCCAACGTTCCAGGCGTTTTGATTTAACCAATTGCGCATTTATGCTACGGACTCGACTGTGGTGTATCATTTCCCCTACTCACGTCACCATGTTATCACCTGTCAAGAATGATGGGGCAAAATGGAAAAAGCAAGCATGCGGTAATTGAGTGGTTGGCTCCGAGGTGGTCAAGTTATGTAGACTCTATGATATCTGCTATCTGCCTGTTTAATAAGAAGCCAGTATTCCCTTGGGGCTTTACTAGCTTTCTTTTGCCTGCATAAAGCTGCATCCTTGGGTCGGTTAGCGACCGGTTTCACTTGTCTCCAGTGCGCTCTTTCCAATCAGTCTGTGTGTAGGTATTTGGTGGAATGGGATGAAAGGCTTTTATCCGGAGAGTTAGAGGTTACCAGGCGCTGTATCACAGGAACTAGTCACAGTTTGTCATTTCCATGTACACCTCCAAACTGGGTACCACTTGCGAAATAACTAGGACAAGCCCCTTACAATTTTTGGTTGATCGAAATGAAGGGGAAAACCTGACACACAGTCCGAAATACTCGACCAAGGGATTCACGATTTTTGTTTAGCTGGAGCATAGCATAAAACTTACTGTATGACCACTGGCATCCGAAAACCCTTTATTCATTTATTCCGTTGTCCTATCTATAAACAGTACAACTAAAAGGTATCAGCAACACATCGGTACCTCGTACATGCGCTTCCTTGTCATGTATCCACTGGCGGTTGCAGCTGTACTGGTGTACTACGAGATCGCATGCACGTATATGTCTACTCAAACTGGTGACCGCTGGATCACACGCCACGTGTCTGGTCCACTTAATCACCGAGCTGCCGCATTCTTTGAACGGTAGCTCTTGACAAGTTCTTTTGTTTCAACTGGAGCTGATTTTATCTCTGCCTGTTGTTCCCCCCCACTCGCAACACGTCACTGTTGTTTGCACTCGTTTCGTATGGGAATCAGCAAGATTGTAACGCGAACCTGTGTCTGTTGTTCCTCTGAATAACTACTTCACTCGGATACGTCTCGGTGTGAAACCGAGCACTTATCCTCACCACTTGTCCTTATCTTAATTCTCGAATTCATCTTCATTCTGACTTGCTGAAATAAGGCTCTCTAGATGCCTTTATCGACAGGCCCTTCCACTCTGCTAATCTGGACGTCTAAAGACTGCATTGTATCACAGCAGCCATATTTGACAGTGAACATCCCGTTGCTATGCTCCGAGTTACTATGAATCGTTATACTTTCCCTCTAACAATGACTATCCCTGATTCCTTACGTGTTGTCCACACAACATCCGTTCCCTTAATCCTTGCATGCGGCAATCCTAGCGATAAGCTCGTTGTTTAAAGAGATGATCTCTCCGTCAAGTACTTGACGTATGTTATCCTCCGTATCTTAAGAGTATGAATCTACCAGTATGAGAATCGTTTGCACAAACGCTGCTGTCGCTGCACTGCATCATCTCCAAATGTGATTTCTGTTCACTGAATCCATCGACCATGATTTACATGAAGGCCCTTCGATTTTTTTCGCGCAATTTCATCACTTTATCGAGCGGTCGTTCTGAGACACCGCCCAGCGAATCGCATCGATAACTTAACAATTCACCTGGAGGTTAGTAATATGCATGTATTCGACATGCATCCCCAATTCTAACATGCAGTCCGCTTCTTGCCAATCCCATTGTCGATTGGCTCTCCAAAACTCAAAATAAACTTTGCGCCGCGAGTCAGATGGTAGTATACATGGATAGATGATGGCTACTTCCATACTGCGCACGGATTTTATTATTGCGATTTTCTCTGACACTGTCCCACCGTGCGAAGTCGTCGGCTTGGGGTTATCGGCACAAACGAGAGGACCTCTCCGGAGGTGAGGTCAACACGATGTCACCCCGACTGTCATCAGTCGAGTTCAGCTTACGATTGTTGGCGAGCGACCATCAAACGCAGCGGGCGGAAATATACGTTGCTTACACAACGATTTCATCAGGCATGAGCAGGGCTACTTGGCCGCCGGCGGCTCTTATGCGCAGTGGTTATGGCTCTGCTTCATACTGTAAGCGGACACACTTCATCGTTGTGCTCCGTCTTTGATTGCTAAACTGACATCCTCCGTTTCTATGAATGCTGGAAGTTGTCATGACTCACTTAGGCGTTACTGTCGCACGCAGTTACGCTTTCGGTGGCCGTTAACATCTGGGAAGCAGTAGATCAACTTCACTGATTCACTAGTATTGGCTTGATCTTTATGTTGCCTTTTTACGGACCACGACGAACGTATATTCTCGTAATCATGTGCTACGCTGAGACTGGGCGAAAGGGCGCTGCATGGACTTGAAACCCTACCTGGCCAAAAGGAATACAGATACTCTAGGTCGAACACCGCTCCCTTCCTATTATGCACTATCTGTATCGGATAGCGCTGTTGCTAATTTGACCCATGGCAAGGCATTGTTTGGTGGTTACGAGGTAACAGGATGCTATCGGTTGATGCACGCCTTCAAATTAAGTGAATATAGCAGTTGCGAGGCTAAGTCCGATTACTGTCGTCGTTACGCAGTGCATCTACCCCGCGAATTTTTCCTCGCGGCGTTCTAGCGCCCATAAGGACTTATGTCATTCAGTGTAACTGACTTCAGTAGCCTAAGTTGGTAGTTGGTGGATGATTAGTTAAGGTATGACATCCGTTTGTGTGCGTTGGGGTCACTGCATGGTTAAACCTCAGTGAGCACAGTTTTCATTCCGGTGTTGCCTGTCGAACTACTTCAATTACAGCGCGGATGTTACAATGACTAATGTGAAACTAAGCCGTTGTTTACTGAGATAGTTCAAGCGCACCGTTCGTCTAGGTGCTTAAACCATACACGGGTTCATTTTGGTTTATCTGAAAGGATAATGTTCGTGACTGGCTAGAAAGAGAGAAAAACAATTTAGGAACACTAGAAAATTAATTTTTAGAGCATAATGTGAGATTAGAATCTCTGTACCATCTAATTCCATAGTTTGATTCACACGATAGTGGGAAGCATATGCATCTTGTATGTTTGAGCACGGCATTCATTCAGAGCGGGTTACACAAGGCTCTAACAGGTTTCGGACAATCAATGTGTACTTTTCCTGATACATATATGCAGCAGCCAATGATAGATAGGTTTCGGATTATTGACGTCTTATTGGCATAAGGTCATCTGACCAGTAACCAGCTCTTACGCTGTAGTAGTTCTGCTGTGCTCGTTGTGCCCGTGCTATATTACAGTTGAGAGGTTGTTGAGACCACGGCGGTCTGACCTGCCACAGCGCTGCTATCCGCTCCATTGCCGGTGTCATGTTTGCCAGCCGATGCTTGCAAAGCATTGTGCATATCTGATTGCAATACGAAATGCCACCAGCTGCTGTTTGAAAACAAACCTTTTGGTACCACATTGCAATGTCTTTCGGGCCCGAGTCGTCTAAGTTGGCTGAGTCATGTCTTTCGTATACCGATCAGCTACTTCGACACGCGGGCTACCACTGTTTAGTTGTCTACTTGTCTATGAACGTCTAACTGGCATCCTAACAACCGTTGGTTTAGGGACGTATCTATAGTTATTCATCTGTACTCGAGCCTCCGATTTCACTCTGAGCTTTTTGATATCTTGCTTCCAACCGTAAGTGAGAGCTCACTGTGGATGTGGTTTCAAGGGTCACACCGATTGAGGCACCTTGGTAACCATCCACTTTAACTTGTTGGTAGAACTAGTGCTTTTGACCTCGAACAGGCAGGCCCTACATTTTGCTCGTGTGGCTCCTGTCTGCTAGACGTGAATTGGCGCTTGCTGTTATTTTTCCTTGTATTGATTGCTCGCACCGAGTGGAATGCACGCTCCACTTAGCAGTACTAGTCGCACAGTTTGGCTCCACTTTAAGTACTAATCCTCATTTGTAACTGTCATCTGAAAGACTACATCAGGGGTCACTTTCTGTGTCACTAACGTTTGCATGCTTCTGAAGCAATATAATCTGGAGTTCATTCGTTTGAGTTGGCACCCCACCTCTCACTGTCACATAGATATTTATTGATCTTGCTCTTTCTTATTGGCTCTCATGCAACACTACGAGCATTGTATTTCATAAGCCTCATAACGGCAATTCGTGTAGCTGCTCCGTGTTTTCGAGACAGTCAGGAATAATTTCTGGCTCTAGTTACGGTCTTCCAGTTCTATGACCATCTTTTATAATTTTATCCTTTTTGAATACTGTGACCTCCGACATAAATGCTCGTTGCTCGGTTATCTGTCATCTTGCATTGTCTTAGGTGATCATAGGTGTTTTAGTCACTTACAACGCTTATCTTTATCCATTTTCACATTTTCTACGGTTACGGAATTAACACACTTCTCTTGATCGTGGATGAGTCGGTGTTGAGAGGAGCAACATCGAATCACCTCCATTTCGGATTCGGTCCCGTGCTCGCGGGGGCCGTGGTCTTAATATAGATTGCGTGTCGCAATCCAACCACACGGCGGTACTCTAACTCCAAATTTGAATTACCTTATGACTGATTGTTAACAGTACATTCAACGTCGTTAGTCTATCTGTACTCCGGAATGTTAACGCATTGACAATTCCCATTCAAATTGAACAACGCGCATTTTCCCACCTCGCATCATTATTCTTTTTTCGTCACTATTCTCCTACGATCTTCTGGGACGACTGCTCTTCTCCTTCTTCAATAGAGACACACACCGCTTCTCCGAATTTTTTGATTGATGTGATTCCCGGCATAATTTTTCACCAGTCCGCCGTAGCAATGTGTGCACGTATGTGGTGGCTGATGTGCATTGTTTACCTGATTCTTTTGCTCCATGACCCCTATACCATCTTCTCTCCCATTATTTAAACCTAGTAAATTGTCCTTTCTTCTTACTTACTAGTTGTTAGAACATATTTCCTCTTTCTTTATTCACTTCTTTCCAGGACATATATACTTCGTTTATGCATGTGGCGACTCAATGATCCGGAGGAAGTTCAGCGGCCAGTATTTGAGAGGTAATTCTATGATGGCTATGTCGCACAATTAAATTTTCCTATTCCTTCAGCTACGCCACCCCAACTGCTAGTGCCAACTCAGTCTGCACTATCTCGTTTTTATGTGATACGCAACATTACAAAGGTATCTCCCATTCATCAAAATTTTACAGCTTTAGGTTCTTTATCATACTTCGTATACAAGCGATAACTGTCCAATGCTTTGTTCATTTTTCTGCATTATCCCGATCAACAAATATCCTGTGCTTTATACCAACTTCAGTTTTGTAGCCATTGCTTCTACTCCGAGCGTATATTTGCCCTTGCATTTTCCTTCAGAACAAATCGGTTACCAAGCTGACGCTGTTTGGTCTAACAGAGAGCACTTCTTCCGTTGTTCATCTGGCACATTTTGTTTACTTGCCCGAAACTTAGCTTTCACACTTCCATTTTATTTATCTATTTCCTTCTCAGTGTTTGTGCCGAAGGGGATTTTGGCCGCGCGGCCACTATGGCATTATTCAACCTGAATTTCAACTGGGCTTTGAGCTTCCTTAATCGTGCTTCCGCGGGTACGCGATTTACTGTTGAACCTTTACTCTCTAATTTGATATTTCTCTTTTCACATTTTTTAATTACGGTATTCTTTTTTCAGCCTATCTGAGCTCTCAGCCACGGACCGAAGCTTCTAGCGCTTCGGCCCCCAAGGCTGCACTCACGCAAGAGGTTGGTCTTGTCACACTCGCCATTGCCGGATACGCAGACAGTAGCAATGAATTATGGAAAGTTACCTGCGCGAGCCTCCTAACTCGGTTGGAAAATCCTTATCTGCGTGCCATGTTCACATTCCTCACTCGAAATGGGAATGATTTTGATCCAATACTAGTGAGCTATTGCGGAATATTTTTGCAATTTCATTCCTGCTTGTATATGAGGTTTTTTTATTTCGTTTCTTGCCTCTGTCCTTTTGATGCGGACATTCCATTCGAATCTAAAATCTCCCTTAATTCATTTTTTGGATTCGCCAGATGTTCATACAATCAAGTCTCAAGCATTAATTGACCACTTGTCTTTGAATTCGAATCCTCTACTAATTTTGCTCCCAACACCGTGTTTTTTCGTCGATTTCAGCCTGTATTTCACCAGTGCGTGAACTAATTACGCTTCCATTTTCCTACCTTATGAACAGCCCTTTTCCTTGAAAATGTTAGGTTGAGCGCCTCTCACCTCTTCCATTAACTCACTAGTGTGGGCGATGAATCTGTCGGGCTACTCGTGTGAGTAGTTGTAGTTTATGCCTAGGATCTCTATCCCAGCAGCATGCCGTGTTCTTTGAATGCAGATTTCTTTTGATATTCATCTTGTGTCGATCACTGTTTGCGCTGTACATGCTGTCCTCTGCACTAGTTCTGTGTCCGCATTTTAGAGAGTTGCTAACCTTATCAGCAGCGTACCCAATCAGGGTTGGGGTTTACACCATTTGCTCTCACAGGTAATCCGTCAGCAGATCCCGACTGCTTTAAAGCAGTCGCACCCATCGGTTACAGTGGATGAGCTGCAAGTTCCAATGCGCCATCTACTTGTGTTTGTGAGTTAAATCATACTGCATTCAGATTATTCTGTGGAAATCTTGTTTTTTTTCTTGTTATTTTAAATCATACTGATTTGTTTCGCTGCCACAACTACTTACTTTTTTGGAACCACTTGATTCGTTTCAAAATGTTTTACTTCTTTGCACATTGCATAACTGCCTCTTGTTGTTCATTCCACTAACAGGTAGACGAAGGGCTTCAGCTTTGTGATCGCATTTCCTTCGCATGTCTGTATTTGGATGATAAAGAGGTACGTCTGCCTATCTCTCACTGTGTCCTCATTGTTACCGTGCACTGCGTTCGATTACCCCCAGTGATACGTTGTTCCACAACGTGTCATCGCTTGACTTCCAATGTGCATTCCTCCTTTGCTTTCAGTTGACAGAGTTCATCCGATCTTTATGCCATCGCATGGTCTCAGAGGGTCGCTTAGAGGCGGTTGTTCTTACTGGACTAATTTCTACCGAATTTGTCTCCCTCATTCAAGCCTATGTGAATCGAACTGGAGATGTTCAAACTGCCGCCATTGTAGGACTGTCTGCATGTCAGTTGGACACCGGCTTATCATCACACATCTCAGAGCCACCGGCCTCCTTTGCTTCTGTTACACCTTCTGAAAGGCCCAACATTTCGACAATTTCCACCGAAAAGAGCTCGTCTAATGCCAAACGATTGCCTCTGTTGCTGAAGCTAGGTGGAACTGCCCTGGTTTCCTGGGTTCAATGGTAGGTACTTTCCGCCTGCGTTTCCGTACATTTTGCACTTGTCTACGACGGTCCTTGTTTATAGTACCTCGAACTGCTCCGTTTTGCGGTCATAATCAAGACTTCAACTAGTCCATTTTATGGAGGCCTATCGACTACAGTCCTTTAGAAGGCCACGCTGTTCTGTTTTGTTGGCGGTGTTCAACATTCGCGCTCTATGACAAATAGGTCAGCAGACAGCACTCGCACGCAAGTTGGATACACTGGGTATTGACGTGTGTTGTGTATCCGAAACTGTGATCAATGACCCTCATTTGGTTGTAGAATTAATTGCGTCCGGCTTGTCCTCTCGCTCTTGGTTGCACGCATCCAGAGACACTGATGCGGCAATCACTGATCATGCTGAGGTGAACATCGCACTCAGCTCCAAGACTAAGTCACCGTTGGTTGATTGCATTCCGGTGAACAGTCGTTTGTGTGCAGCTCGTTTGACGACATCAACTAAGGTTGCTTCACCTAGTAGTACAAAACAGTTTGTTTGTGTTTTCCACTTACGTTCCCACTAAGGACACATTCTACCCAGGACTGAACACGCTACTACGCAGTGCTACTAGTTCAGATGATACAGTATTTGCAAGGGATATGAACGCACAAATAGGGTATATGAGCTCTTCAGAAACTCAGATAGGTGGTAATTATGGGCTTAGCTCCGAGATTTCGGACAACGGTTAGCGTCTGTTACTACTGCGTGTGGGGCGCTAATGTTTCTTAATAACACCGCTTTGAGACACCGTGGGGGCCGACGTGCCACTTGGCGTCCTCTTGTGACTGGTCATCGATGAACCCTTACTGATCACATAGCCCTAAGTTACAGGTGACATGATTTCATCCTGAATTTTTGCTGTTTGCAATATGCTTGCATCGACTCTGGTCATGCCTTGGTACGCTGTCGTTTTTCCATCACCTTTACTGGGAAGCGCACCAAGTGTTTCCCCCGATTGGCAGCTGAGAAATGGTCTCAGTCCTCGGTCAGGCAGACTTGTCAAGACGCACTTCGTACCGAACTTTCGCTGTCTTTTTCTAATGACACTGAGCTGCATTGGAATAGAATCTCGACCGCCATACACGATGTAGCTGCGTCTGCTTGTGACACTATCTATCGTCACCGCACCAGTCACTGGATATCCGAGAGGTCGGTGTACCTGTTGAAATCTAGAAGACACCTCCCGGCTGGCTCTGAGCACAATGTGACCAGACTGGCTATTACGCGCGAACTAAAACGGAGCCTACGTGCTGACAAGGAAGCCTGGCAGACCATTCGTGCTCAAGAAATGTAGGAGACAGGAGCAGTAAGTAATTACTGCAAGCTCTTCCAGCTAATCCGCACCACTGGTTCCAGGAAACCAAGCGTCAGTGAGACAATCAGAAACAGCGCGGGTGCACTGAAACACCATAAGGAGCGCCGTTTGGCTCGTTGGCAGAACGCTGTCAAGATCAGTTCAGCTGATCCCCTGTTCCCGGACCTCTTCCTACTCAGGTGATGCAGAACGAGCCATGGACGGTTAGTTCAGCGACCACCGGTGGCTGAGGTCCAAAATGCGATCGCAGCCATTAATTGTTTTTGTGCTTCTGGCCTGTATTCCCTCCCACCTGCACCATTTAAGGATGGAATTGAGATCTTCTGCAAAGCACTAACCCTATTCGAACATATCTGGAACTAAGAGTGTTCCGGCTAACTGAAGTGTATTGATTATAGTGGCGATATACAAGAACGGCAGTCACATTGACTATGCTTGCCACAGCGGTATTAACCTAACGCCAGTTGTGACAAATTACTGGCATCGATTCTCGTTTGTCGCCTCACTGTGGAACAGGAATCTCGAGTTAAGGAAAAGCAGCCAGGTTTCCTTTCTTAGGACGCGGTTATATAGACCACATATTCACTTTGCGGCAGATGCTAGGGCAGCACCACACGTTCCGCAGACCGACAGTAGTTGTGTTTCTCGATTTCACATGTGCGTTCGCTTCATTCTGTTCGAAATGCTTGCGCGGTAAGGTGTTTCCACGAAAAATGTGAACATCCTACATGCTCTTTACTTGTACACTACATGCCGCGTTAGGGTATACTGTGACCCGTCGGATAACTTTCCGATAACAAGTGGCGTTCCTCAGGGTTGTCCGGTTTCCCCGTTTTTGTTCAATTTCGTCGTGGACTCCACCATAGAGTGTTCCGTCACGGAGTTTCATGATGTAGGCGTCGAGGTCCTGTCTGATGGAAGGCTAGTTAATCTTGATTATGCGACGATATCCTCCTGCTTTTTGACGATGTTAGGGCTGCACAAGGAACCCTGAATATCCTCTCCAGAGTGGTCCTTTTATTTGGTATGCGCCTCGCACCTTCAAAGTACAGTGGCTTGATGGCGAAGAACTCGAGTTGCTTTGTCACTTCAGCTACCTTGGCAGCTGCATCGGCAACAATGTACTGAAGTCAGTTGACACATTACGAAATCTAGAGCTGCTTTTTGTATATGTGACATCTATGGCGTCAGAAGTTGGTTTCTTTGGGCCTGAGTGGCTCTGTTTAGTAGGGCATAGTGAGTGCTGTCCTACTTTATGGGAGTGATACTTCGCCACCTCCGTCTGAGGAACTGAGCGCCTTCAAGTCTGAGCGTCGCTGCATCCGAAGCTTTGCTGGATTCGGGTAGCACCAGCGTGTTCGCAATGATTATGTGCGCAAGCGGGTGTTAGTCAGTGATACTCAGGCTATTTTCTTAGAACAACAGATAGCACTGAATAAGTTGCGTTTGCTTAGCCCCGTACTGTTTATGTCCATTCACCGCTTACTGAGTTGGGCGTTGTTTCGTTTGTCAGATCTATGGTGGCTCAAAACTCGAGTTGGGAAACAATTTATTTGACAGCGAGCAATGAAGACGTTGACGACTAAACTGGGTTTCGTCGGTTCGCCTTGCCTTTCAGCCTGAAGCCCACGTGACGCGCCTTGTGCTTGGCCTGAGATGTCACAGGACATAGCTCGCATGTAGCGCCGTTGGCTTTCTGCAAACATCCGTTTTGTTGACTGAGCTCATTCATCCTATCGCGAAACGGTATTAAGTAATATAGGTGTGTTTTCGGGCCATCCAACCTGAACGTAATGCTTTACATGCGCAAATGACGAATCTCTGTTGGTTTCCCGACGTATATCTATGGATGTGACGGGGATCTTGTCGAATAACTGAATTAGTTTGACACGTTCTTGCGGAGTAACTTCCTCCATAGCACATCCGGTAGGGGAGGTCGATTAAAAACATCGGCGGTAGTATTATGTCGGCCAGGGATATACTAAATTTGGTATTCAAAAGCGGATAGGTTGAGGGACCAGCGGCTCATTCTGGGTGAGGCCATTTGCTGAATTCCGTTTTTGTGCCGCAGGAGCGAGCTAAAGGGTTTGTGGTCTGTGTGAATCATGAAATTCTGGCCGATCAAGCACTGGTGGATTCGGTTGGTACCGAAAATAATAGCAGCAGTCTCGCGATCGAGCTGAGAGGAGTTCCTTCTGGCTGCATTTAAGGTTAGTGAAGCGTAAATGACAGGTCTCTGCGAACCATCAGGTAGTTTTTGTAGCAAAACAGTCCCAAGACCGTAAGAAGAGTCATCCCAGGAGATAACAATCGGCTTTCGTGAATCATAATGTACAAGCACATCATCTGATGCCAAGAGTTTCTTTACTGTGTTGAAAGCATCCTCGTGAACCGTGTTCCATTTTCATGCTTGATTCTTGCGTAAATGATGATGTAGTGGATGCAAATGAGTTGGTGCCGATGGTATACACCGAGAGAACTGAGTGACTGCTCCTAGGAAAGGTCGTAGTTCTCTCACATTTTGGGGGATTTAGACAGCGACCTTCTTCTACCGGACACAACCTATCACTTGACAGTTTATAACCAAGGTATTGCACACTTGCGACCAGCGACTCACACTTATCCTTTTTCAGTATCTGCCCACGGTCTGATAGCCCTTTAAGAACAGCATCCAGAGTGTGTAAATGTTCAGCAGTGGTTTACCCTGTAATTAAGATATCATCCAGGTTGGCACATGTATTTGTTATTTTTTCGCCAATGTGTCAATAATCCATTGAAATATAGCAAGTGGATAGCTTGTTCCGAACGGCATACTTTTGTAGCGGAATAACCCAATATGAGTGCTTATGGTTGTGTAAGCCCGCGATTCTTTGTCAGGTTCAATCTGTTGGTACGCATGGCTTAGATTCAATTTTGTTAAAACCTCACCACCAGAGAGTGCCGCGTAAATATCTTCTATCCTGGGCAGCGGCTACCGGTCATACCTTGTGTCTAATTGGCCGTAACTTTGTAGTCTCCACTGATTCGTACTTTTCCGCCACTCTTTAACACGGGCACTATGGGTGCTGCCCAGTCTGAGTTCTGGACGGGTTAAACCGTATCTACTTTTTTGGAGCCCCAACTAGTTTCGCTTTGACTTTGTTCTAAAGTACTTAAGGCACAGTGCGCGCGTTCCAAAATTTTGGCGTTGGCTTTTGATTTAAGTGTCAGATGTGGTTTAGTCGAACTAGGCTGCGTGCCTTGACAAACTTTCGCATATTTACGGATGAGCATGAACTGAGTTGACATTCGACATAATGTTAGGCAGACGTTTGATCTAGTCGCGAACAAGTATGTCTGGATCTGGCGCGCCAGAGACATACGCACACAGCAGAACTGCGCTAAGCGATACGTGCAACAAAAGTTCCGGTGACATTTACTGTCTACGCGATGTAAGATCACAATTGTATTTTGTGTGGGTTCAGTTTTTGCAAATTCGACGACGCATCCGCTTGTACCAATGTAACTCTTGAAATAGTATCAATTTCAAAAACCACAGACTGAATGTTTATTTGCGACTATACAACCAATGGTTTTTCTGCCGATACATTGCAAGTAAAATAGTTGTGGCGTTGATCCAGTACTGATTCAACTCTTCAGTTATGTAATTTCTCGCTTCCTGTTTCGTAAAGACATTCCATTTAGAAAGGCATATTTTCTGAATATGGCCTTTCTTTCCACAAAATTTACACAATGAATAAAGGTGCTGACAGTCACTTTGAGTCAAGTTACGCCCATCCCAACCATAAAAACGGAAACCTCTGCTGTGCGACGTGAGGTAATGCACCGTCACGATTAAGCTGGTATAAAGCCTGATGCGCCGAGGAAAATGCCGCGAGCTCACGAACGACGTTGGCACTTTAAAGAACTATCTCACAAACTTTCTCCTAGCAGCAACTGCTCTCGTCCTTTTTCATCAGGGATATCAACAATCAATGCTTGGACGAGCATTGCTTCTTCAGAATGATTCGGCGGGATTCTATTGTATGAACAGTCGGGAAGGGCGTGAGTACACGAGAGATATTCATTCACAGACTCACTCGGCTGTTGTCTCATCGTGTTAAACTTGTAGGACGCCGTAAGTACATGTTGCTGTTCCCCCACAGGTGAGCGAGAGAAGAGAACATAATCTAGGTTTTGTTTAATGTGTAACTGCAAACTATCTAAGTGTCTCTGACCCTCATGACCGAGGTGGTGGAACAGTACTTTGCTTTTCGTAGCATCATCATTATTATTATTGCAGCCAAATAGAACAAGATATCAATGTGGTTTGCAAAACCCGTTTTCCATTCCATCCATTGTCGTGCGCTGGGTCTCTCAGTGGAGAAGTTCCAAAATGCTGGAGGTGCCGAAACCGCGTTAGCCATTAGTAATCCAATCAATTCCGTCGCCAATTGTTTCACCCAAGTGAACTCAGAAATAAGTACGGAGCAGTGGAAGTATATCGTAAGACCCATTAGTCATGCATATGTACAATCGTTCGGTGGGTGCGCAGACAGAAGTATACACTGAGTTCCAAGTCGGTGTCATGATTAGGTAGCATGGGCCAATGAGCGCAGTGAAGGTAAGGGACGAATCACACACGTATCGATGCACACACAAACGCACAACGTATGCACTGCACGTTGAGCCTAAGTAACATATGACATATCAAGAATTGGAACTACCTCGTAGGGTACTGGCTGTCTTGCACTGAAAACCGGAACAACATCGGGTTTTAAGGATAATGAGGCTTTTACATTCGTGCGCTTCCCGACTCCTTCACGAAAAACGTCCGCATACTTCTCTCGAATGTGCTCGACAGCCACTGTCTTCGGAACCTTCGACTTGTGTAGCTGGACACTCGTACAGATCTGGTTAAAACGTTTAATCCAGTCTAACCCAAGAAGGTTCAGAATCTTATGACTTGTGATGCAAACGGTTCCCCATGCGGTGAAATCAGCAAAACGGCACCCGCATACAGTCTGATTGATCATATTCAACTTGGTGCCTGATGCGCTCGTCGCTTGCTGGCCGCTCGGTTTAATGTCGAGTGCACCGACAGATTTCCACAAGTTTTCCGAAATGATTGTGAAGTCGGACACCGTGTCAATTTTCAAACGTGCCAGTCGCCCTTTGGTGCTGATAGTGACAAACTTTCTTCTATATTTAACATAGCCGGAAGAGTTGGCGTTTACGCTTCTTGCAAACTTTCGGTGACCTTGGCTTCGTGCAGTGTATGGTGGCCTGAAGGTAGTTTGGACCTGCAATGGGTCTCCTTGTGTCCATGTCTATGGCACTTCTATCAGACGTGCTTGCTGAAGGGGCGCCATCTCACAAAATTCCAACCGCTTTGCCAGCAAACAGATGTGAGTTTAGCTTGTGGACATCTGTGTTCATTTGCTGGGGTGATATCCCTGGAAACTTGCTGGACAGTAATATCACCAGTATGTACCTTTGAATCCTCCATCATAGCTGTGTTGCGCTTTAAATTCATGATCCTCTGTACTGTGACATCCTGGTCGCGTTCCAGCACACCAGTTATTCTGGTCCGGATTTCGGCATCTTCCGGGGACTGCAAACTGCACACTAATATCAGGCATTTCAACAGATCTTTGGTAAGGAACTTCAACTTCATTTTTTGGCATTCGCGCTTCATTGTCGCTGCCTGAGCAATAAAAATGTCTTTCTTGCAAAGCTCCAAAAAATTGTGCCGATTATTACATCGGGACGACTGGTCTCCGAAGATTTCTGTGCGCCGTGCAACTGTGTGTTTAAAGCTGAAACCAGGGGCGTTCTTTGGCAAAATGTAGTTGAGATATCTATCATGCTCTACCGTTCCCAGTTTTCGTAATAACAGAACGTTTGATGCGTCATCGAGACTTGACAACTCGGTTCTGCTAGCATATTCATAGCGCCTGAATCATGCATCAAATAATAGTCCTGAACCAGAATCAAAAATTTAATCACTAACGCTGCTGATCACTGCGTTCGCTCAAGGCTTCCCAGTGTTGTGGAAGTGTGTAGAATGAAGTGGTAACGTTCGGGCGAGAGTCTCAATCATTCGCATCTATGCAGCTTAAAATCACTGTTGTTGCTGTAAAAAAAGAGCACTTCAGGTCTTCTGATGCGATTGACATCCTGATTTAGTTCATCTCTGTCGCCAAAGTCTGCATTGTTTTCCTCTGATTTGTACGGATAACCTGCTGCTACTGCGCAACCTGACCAACCGACTTTCCAGATTAGAAGACAAAGGCCACATGCGCAAACTGTATTGAGCGCTCGGCAGCTAGTGTGTACAATCAAATACTGACGTCGAATAAATAATAAGAGAATGCCCTAGCGCTCACTGGCAGGTTTCAAGGTAGACCATCCTCATTGGTATCATTCAAGATGAAACGTCATCCAAAGCCATTCTCTCACTGGTTGGCCAATAAGCTTCGGGCTGCGTCAGGGTCAACTGCTCCGGGCTGCTAGCAAAGGGATGTCGGCTCCCTTAGCAGTACGCATGATCCGGCTTGGCAGGTTTTCTCCCGCTTGGGTTCCAACACTTGCATAGAGAGACCATGGTAGAATTTGCGGTAAAATTGAATAGTACTCTGCCAACTCTGGGGAACCTAACATTTCGTCGGATGGGCGTTCAAATCTCGCCGTAGACGATGATGACTGGAAATGTTCGACACAGGGAATGTTCACATATTTTCATAAGTACATCTTATGAAATTATATTGAACGGGACACGAAGATTGACTGGTTTGAATGCGATATTGGAATAAATAAGAGATCTATCTTCTATTCTTGGTGTGTGCCCTCACCATGTAAGAATGATGTTGGCGTCCTCGATTCAGTATTGCCCCATCGGTTTGAATAGATGAGGAAAGGGCGAGGTGGCCTAAACTTCTGAAGCTTGTTGATCGGACTTGTGGCATTCTTGTGAGTTTGTCATCATCGCGAAAGCTACTAGCCTGCGATTTCGTTCACCATCTTGTCATCCATCGGGAAGGCCGTATCTGAATAGAACAGGCAGACTTTCGATTAGAATGTAAAGGTTCAGCGTCGCTGTAACTTATTTTGATTGTAACCTTTAATGCTGTAGTTCCGAAAAGTCTTCACACTTTTCTCTGTGATCACTTAAATTAAGCGCATTTTCTGGAACACATGCTAGCATTTTACGTTACCCTCACTTTATATATGACAGATTCCTTAACTAACTGACGGAAACATATGCTGCACTGGTGCTATTCTCTCCGAAGATTGCAATTTCGAACGTCAGTGATCAAAGGCTTTGTCTGACATTATACGGCTCAAGAATATTTTTGCATGGGTCGTTATGCCCCCAGTTAACATTCCTTCGTTTTAGCTAGTCTTATCTTTTACCCCCCATTTCACAATTACGTATAATTTCCTTTACTCTGTAATCTCCTTGTTTTTTTCTTATAATCACTATTTGACCCTTGTTATGTCACTCCACCTCGTTTCACACTTGACTTATGGTTGCATTACTTAACTTGCATTTAGCTTTGCATGCTTTACACCCTAGTCTTTCACTTAGCCACCCGTTATTTTTGGTTTACATTACATTTTCTTGCGGGTTACGTGACTTGCTACGCATTCTTCGTTATGGGTTGTTACACTGAACTGATGCGGATAATCCATCCTAAGCTTAAATTAGGTGAATAGGAAGTATGCCCTTGCCCCCAATATGAAAGCTTTGCTGTCACGGGCTTGTTAGCAGTCGCTTCCGGGCCATGGATACTACTGGGTCATCCGCACCTACGCAGGCTCAACTGGCAACCCGTGAGTTATGAGCCCAAAGTCCGAAACACTTGAACACCAGCCGGTTGATGATGCTTCTGTTACCGGCAATTCCCCATCCTCAGTCCGACGTTCAAGTGCTCCAATCTGCGGCCATTTTCTTTATCTATCTTCGTGTCTTTTTTATTACTTCGCTATGAAATTCAGCTCTGAGCTCAGGTTTTTCCCACTTTTTCTTATACCTCAGTTATCGCGATCTCCTTGATCAATGGCGCATGTGGTTCCACCGAGCCGATTTCGACATCGCCAACTCTGTTTCTGCAATGACCGAGTACTTATCCAGCTTGAATTCCCCAAGACCGTTGTCCAGTCTGGGTCGCCAGTCTACCTATCGGAATGCTACGCTGACCGCTTCGGAAAATGCTTCTAACTTAGTTTCGAGTAACTATTCGTCCGTGGCAGATCGTGCAACGAACTATCTTAGCTCCAACACTGCTCACATCCCTTACCGTCAGCTTGCACAGGCTTTTTCGGTTAACCAAGTGGGTTCATTTCATTCCTGATACTACACTACACCATCCATCCTTCTGACGTGTACATCCCCCAAAATGATTGTCTCTCTCCGTTTCTGCTCACTATTTTTTATCATCTACCTCAGTTTCCTGTTACACAAAGTTGGTTTGCGGCTAACCCATTTGCAGCCTGTTGTTTTGGAAAAGTTTTTTCCTGTGTGCACCATCCTAATTTGGGTCATAGCTGATGAACCAAACCGAGTCGTTTTCGCTCACTCATGTTAAGCGCATTTCTGTTGAAGGTGACAGACTGAGGCCATGAATACCGAGCGTAAGGGTCCATTTTTCCACCGGCAACAAACGTTACAATGAAGAAAATGACACATTTTACCGACGATCTCTAAGCCATTTATTGAACTTTATATTCGTCTTTGCTGTTACATATGTAAGTGCCACTTATTTGAACAATGCACATTTTTCACTGTGGCCTATTTACACACATTGCGTTCAACCAGTTGAGTAGTGATCTTCCATTAAGGCGCTTCAGAAATCAACCGGTCTCCCACGCACCACCTTAGTGGCACTTTTCTTCCCTCACCTTCTTACTTCCATATGATTAAGCTGTATTGCGACCCAAAAGCCGTTGTTTCACATATCTAGCTAACTTGTAAAAGGAGGAGGATGATGATCCCTTTCTCTATACTTCCTCAAACTTTAGCATTTGCTGATTATTTATCACTGCGACGCTTTTCGAGCCTCGTTGCTTTTCTTTCGGCCCTTTCCTCGTTCTTGGTTTTCTTGTTTTCTTTAGGTGTTTGTTGCTTGCAGCTTTTGTGGTTGGCGTCTTGGACCACAGAGTAAGCCTGCAGCTAACTTTGTGAACGGAAACGCTGTTAGGACTTTATCTAGTCCAACTGGTTCGGCTAAGGCGACATTGAAGACTCCACTATCCTCGCCGTCCAGAGACGTTCAAATGCATTGTGGGGGCGGCAAGCAGACGATTTGCAAGCACTGCCTAAAACCAATGCCCCGCTGCTCCATTTGTCTTATGCATTTGGGTTCAGTGGCTTTACCTTTGGACGACTCCAGCATGGCTACTCTAAGGCACGAAGATGCATTGGTGAGGTCGGCGATTTCTGCATTTCCTGCCTTGAGTGACAGCGTGGCACGCGTAATGCAACTTAGCATTCTAGGTTCGGTTAACCGCTCCAGAACATCCCCCACCGGTTCCGCACTCGAGGCTGTTTCATCGTGAGTTCCGTGTTTCAACCATCGTATATTATGTGCATTTTATTTACTGTTCTTACATCCGTTCATATAAACTCATTGTTTTATTAGTCGCTTTTTGTTTCACCATTAACGGGGAACCTATAGCTTAATCTGTTTCTCTCCTATGGTTGACTGTTTCGACCACGCCTTTCTGAAGTCTATAGTTTCTCTCTTTAATCTACATGAACACGCTAACCGCGTTCATATTTGTTTTTTTTTCTCAGTCATCTGTCTGTCAGTGAAGCTTTAGCCTCTTTGGCCCGCCTGTTCATTTGGTGTCAAGCCTGCCGGCATGGCGGTCACGCAAGTCACTTGGCTGACTGGTTTTACTGTTCAACGGACGTCTCTGGTGATCTGAGCCGCCAGCGGCAGTGTCCCGTTAGTGGATGTCCTTGTCGTTGCGCAAGTCTGGATTCGTTGCGTCCAATGCCATCACAGCAGTCGCATGACAGCTCGATGAAACCATCCGTTCTTTCACTAGATGATGGCGCATCGTCCTCTACAGGCCATGAGGAGGAGGAGGCAACTGGACAGACTGGGTTGGATGATATTATCCTCAAAAATGCATGCATCTCCAGTTCTATTCACCATCACACTGCTTAAATATTTTATTCGAAGGTGGTAACCTCGCATCATCTAATGCACTACACTACCTGTGCGAATCTTTCTGTATTTTTATTGAAATTGGCTCTGTGCAACTGTATGGTTTTTTATCGCCTGAGTTTTGCGATTGTTCGTGCCATTCTTGCTGCATTATGAGCTACTAAGTCCGGGAGCGGCCGCACCTGTTGACTTTGCTTACACATGCCTTTTGCAGCCATTTACGAATTTCCGAATCTCTAACCGATTTATTCCATGGTCTTTATTGGGGAATAGACTAATGACAGATGCGTGTGCCTCAGGTGTTAGACGCACCACTCTACGCTTCGCAGACTGTCGCACTTCCCGTCAACAAACTCCTGTTTCTCAGAACTGTTGAAACTCAATTGGCCTCCCACCACTTTCCGTCTCTGGTTGGCCAAACTGCCTGTTTTATGTCGGGTTGTTCTTGCGAAAGATGCAGAATAATATATGTTTCACTTCCTTGTCTTATTACATTCACGTTGGCGTACTTCACACCTCTTAGCTTCTGCTGGCTCTGGCCTCACCTTTGTACATGCGGGTTGGCAATCACCAATCCTGGTTGGAGAATTTCGGGGCTGCTCTCTTCCAACACTGCACTCCACGACCAGCCGGTTTCGTCCAGATTTGGACTCGTCAGATAGAGATAGCTTGAGCTGAGGGCAGAGCACAACACAGTAGTTGATGGTTTTCGTCTTGCTCACTACTGTGGAGCTCTGGCTCTGGATCAAACATCCTTGTGACAAAGCAAGATTTACTAGTTGAGAATTCTAACACCCATGTGTTGCACCATTTCTCAAGTGAGTCGAGGTCTTCTTGAACGATATGCATTGCGCTATTGAGTTCATCTCGTCAAAGTTCATAAACATTCTTGATGTCATCGTCGAACGAAAATGGCCTTCCATATTTTATGAACCCAGTCATATTGTTAATATAAAGTAGGTAAAGAGAAGGACCAAATACACTCCCTTGGATGACACCACTAGTGCTTGGATGTCAGGAGGAGTTACGGGTACCCAGAGTAACTATGTGCTAACGCCCATTTAGGTATGATATCAACCAACCAAATATTGGGTCACTGATTCCAAATGACTCGATTCATTTTAGTAGCCGCTTGTGGAGCACTCTGTCGAATGCGTTTTACATATCCAGGAACAGAATTATAACAGCATATTTGGAGTCAATATCTTCTGTAATGTAATCCAGGTGGTGCAACTGACACGTTGTACAGGAACGTTTATCGAGGAACCCATGCTGGGATTTGTTCAGCAGCCCATGACGATGGATGAAGTCCATGGTTCCACTTTTAACTAATTTCTCGAGTAATCTAGCGATGATGTGTAGGTCGATAATTAGTGGCTTGCTGTTTGGGCCCCCCTTTGTGACGGACTATAAACGAGGTTTTCCACTAATCCGGAAAGTAGCTAGATTCCAAGGACAAGCTGAACTTGCTCAGCAAAAGCAGTGGTATATCAGGTTCACCGAGTTTAATGACTGATGGGGGTGCCATCGGAGTCTGGTTTGAGCGATGGCTTGATGGACTTCATACCTTTTTGGATAGTCAAAAGAGAAGTCTCGACATTATGTATGACGCTTGCTGTAAGTTCTGGGCAGCAAGGTATAGAGTCGGTCTCTACGTTCACAAATAGCAGGTGGGTCATTATGGTGGCGACCCTCTTCATCATTAAGTTCTGTCACCAAAGACATTCAATCGTTAGTTCTATGACGGAATAATTTGGCCAGTTCCTTTCCTTCGCATGTCATCCGTAAGGCGTTCTCTTCTTCCTTTTCAATCCCATTCATTTGTGAGCGCTTGATGCAGGCGCTGGATTCGTGTAGCTGTAATACTGGCGAGAAGTTTCTAGTTTTTCTTGATTTATTGATTAATTTTCTTGTTTTCAGGTCATTCATAGTGTCACTTACACTCTTAGGACCAGGAATGGCACGTTTATACTGCAGGACAAGTACTTTTATGATGCGATTGATCTGGTAGTAGAACTGTTCCACTGCAATGTGAGCGCTAGTGGAGAGAAAATAGCCATCCCAATTAGAGGACCGAATCAGCTTTCCGAAATGCTCCCAGTCAATCCTTCGTATAGTAGCTGGGTAGGTGAGTCGAGTTTGGTATTCATTTCCAAGTGGATGCAAAGGCGTAGCATCTTGTGGTCATTACCCGGAAGGTTGTCTAAAATGGTTATCTGTGGGTCAGGGATCCCTAGTATGAAGATTAAATCCAGTACTTTGGCAGGCCTAGTTGGTCTGGTTACCCACTGAGTCTAACCCCCAACTCTGATAGTCGATAAGAAAGATCTGCGCAATAATGAGGATGTTTGTAGTGACCTAGTAATATTCGGTAGATTGAAATCGCCAGCGATTATCTTTGGACCGCATGGTAACACCGGTGTGAAATCAGAAACCGAGGAGATAATTGCGATGTTCCTAGCTGTCACTTTCGGAGGGTTGTAGATGCAACCGAGACGTACTGTCTAGGAGGCTGCATCGACTGATAGCCATAGAGATCTCGGGACCTTGTTTAACTGTGGGTCGTCAATGAACTCCGCTCTGAAGTTCCGATAGAGATATACGATGCATCCGCCTCCCTTCTTTGTGCTGCGATCTGTTCGAAATAGATGGTAGTTAGGAATATCTAAAGTACCATTCAATGTATCAAGAGAGCATTATGTTTCGGTGACGTGGATTACATGTGAGGTGCTCAGCTGTGTAAACATGCTGACAAAGTGCAACTTGTTTTTTATGGATCTTGCGTTAATTTGTATAAGGGAAATGTGGTGTGCACAAAATCGTTTTCTGTGGGTACTTCCTAGGATTGGGAATCAAAAATGACAGGGAAAGAAGTTAACTAAGAGGTGGTGGAAACAAACCCATTGGTGGAATGCTCAGGTTTAAGGGCATCGTTCACGCGGAAAAAATTGATGTCCCGATGCTAGGTTAGGATTTATCTGCTATTGAGCTGACCGTAACATGTGGGTGAACTACCAGAAAAGTTAAACAATATAGGCTGTCTTTGCCGGGTGTCAGTGATGAGAATGGATGCGGAGCCATTCCCATTTCCGCTAAAAATGCTTTAGGGTAACGTGATGGATTGTGATGGGCTGCATAAGTATGTCGCATGACAGGTGGTATCGTCAGGTTTTCAACGTCTTTCCGGTTTTCATTTCTCTGTTTAGGGTTGTTGTAGACGGGAGTAGTAGGCTAGCCTGTTGGAGTTTGGTAGGTAGGTGTAACCAAAAGATAATTGTTAAGAGTTAACAGGCTTGAAATAATGCGTAGGGCTACGATGGCAAGGCATTTGTTGACACGCAGATTTGAACGCTACCGAGTTCGTGTAAATACCAGTCGATGAGATATTTGTGTTCGCGACTTCAGCACGCAAATCTGGGGCTGCATCTTGACGTTTATATCTATTTTTCGCTATTTTTTTGGTTTCCGACAGTCACTTGTTCGCCATATCTAATACTTCCTCTAGTAACTAAACCGTTTTAGGCCGGAGCAGTGAGGCCGCGGTCACGACTACTGGCGTCTGTTAAGTTCGGTTATCGTATAGTAGGCGTTAAGATAGAAGGTGGAGCAGAGATATTTGATATTACCGCTCCTAGCAACGAGTTGTCAGGATCTACAATTGGTGTGCCATTTTCATGTGGATTTATGTGCGGTTCTTCAGCGTTGCTGTTACGGTTTTCCGACGTTTCCGGTGTAATTCTGAGGACGGATCGTTGCAGTGGTGTACGATCCGGCTTACTCAAAGTATCTTTGTACTGTGTACACGCAGTAATGATATGTTTGCTGTGCAAGAAATAATCTGCCAATTCTTCGCTTGAAAATTTAAAAATGATTGGACAGCAATGCCTCGGTGTTTTCATTTTAGTCGCAGACATATACAGACGACATCGGACATGTTACAAGCGCTAAGTACAGCCGTCTTTACTTTGTTCAAACTGTCTGGTCACATTTTTACGGTTTCTTTCACTTACATCTGAGGCGATGGAGTCGATTAGTTGACCTGCCTTTTTGTGATGAACATTATCAGACTTATTAGATGGGTTGCTAATCCAGTGAAACTAAGTGATCTTTAAGGCCAAAATTTACTTTATTTCCTCGAGCTCTGGTTGCAAGGAGCTGACAGTAGCGCTAAGTTCAGATGTGAGCTGAGAGGCCGGAGAAGAACAGTTTAATGGCATTTTTAGGGCATCACCTTTTAATCGTTTGGGCCGTGGTACAAAGGGTACATTGTCCTTAGGTAGGCTAGTGCGTTTGCACTTCGTTAGGGCCATAGCAAAGCAGGAATGTCAACAGTCAGATTAATGCTCATTGGTGTAGAGCAGGGTTTCCCAACCTGGGGGTAATTACCCCCAAGGGGGTAAAATGGCATTTTCCGAGGGGTAAATACCGATAATTGGATTTGATCACAAATCAGTCGCGCAATATGCTTAATAACGAAATCACACATCGCAACTAGCTCAGCATTTTTAGTTAGCCATCATTCAATGCAGCTACTACGGCATTGCGCCTTTGTCGACTGCCACAACTGCTGCCGTGTTTTCAAATAAGCCAGTCGTTCACCGGGTCGAATAACGGGGTGGATAGCAAACTATCGTTTCAGCACTGGTCAAAGTACCAGTTATGCTCACAGGTGAATGTTTGACAGTGGGAACGGCGAGGAAGGGTGATTAGTGTTCACAAGGTATGGATACAGAATGGTGTAGGGAAAATGTCGAGGAATAACGTGGAACGGAGGAATGAAACACATGTTCATGTTTGATTAGGAATCAGACACGATGGGGTCAAGAGAGGGCCTGAATCGGGATAACGGTAGGCGTTTGAAAGGGCCGAGAAACGATACAATTGGGGTCACAACCAACATAGAATCAGCAGATTAGACGCCAGTGACCATTAGGTGTTATGTTGATCACTTTCATGAGCAGTTGTTTTTGACGAGAAGTCATGGCAGGTGAGCATTTTCATTCAGTGGCTTTGATGCCGACAAAAATATATTTGTCTGCGAACGTTTGCGATAATGTCACCTGCATGGAATAACGAGATTAATTTCTATAAATGATATATATCTATAACATCTATCTACTTAATTGTTTGCAAGGAATACGTCTTCCAGAAAAAAGCGGTCCTACAAAGAAGCATTTCTGCAGTGGGGCTTTACCAACTTCGCTGATAAAAATGTTGAGAAACCGCATTGCGTTTTGTGCAGCAAAGTGCTCACGGCGGAGAGTATGAAACCTAGTAAATTGAAAGAGCACTTCGAACGAAGCCATGCCCATTTGATAGGAAAAGATATTGCATTCTTTAGAAGGAAAGAAGCTGCGCTAAAACTTTCGCGCCTGGATACATCGAGCTCCTTTTCTCAGGCAAATGAGACTGGCCTTGAAGCTACGTATCGCATTGCACTTCGAAACGCCAAAAACAAGAAGCCGCATACCATAGGAGAGGACCTCATCAAACCTTGCATAATGGATG